ATAATCGAGGTGCGGCCTGACTAGCGCAAGACATAGATGCAATATGACCTCCGCACTCTTATTACTTACACTTCTAGATATAAAACCTAATACTGTTTGTCTTATTTCGAACATTAACGCACTGTTTTCTAGGCCGTAGGTCCGGGCTTACAAATACCCCTAAGTCTCTTTCACAAGTCGACTTCTCTAGGTTGATGTTGCTAAGGCTGTATATATGTATAAACGTACACGAGATGTTGCAAAGTCTACACGAACGTACACATGTTATGTATACATGAAAGTAAAATTTGTTTCAACCAACATTTCTTGATAACAAATGGAACCGAACCCCCTTACTTAACTTGACCTAACATAGCTTAACTTGACCTAACAGCTTGACCAGACCTAACAGCTTGATCAGACCTGACTTAACATAGCTTGACCTGACCTAACATTGCTTCCAATGAGCTTAACTCTACCTATCCTAACCCTACCCAGCACAGCCTAACCTAACCCAGCCTAGCACAGCCTAACCCTACCCAGCACAAATTAAGCCTACCCAGCAGAGCCTAAGCTAACCCTACCTAGCACAGCCTAACCTTCCCTAAACCAATCTAACCTAACCGTACCTAAACCAATCTAACCTAAACCAACCCAATCTAACCAAACCTAAACCGACCTAATCTAACCCTACCTAAACCAACCCAATCTAACCTAATGAAAACCTGACCCAGCCCACTAAAGTTAACCGAATCGTACATATTCGTGACGTGTTTATTTGATGGTCGCCGTCACTAAGGGAGATCAACATTCTTGAAGTAGTACTGAAGTTTCGGAGAGTTAAGTGACGATCGCCCCCACACGCCACCCGTCATTGATTTAAGACCTGTACTATTTAACACGCTTGACTGTTCTACTACTATACTTAAAAAAGAGATCTCTACCCTAAGACACTTTTAAAAAATATTCTATCATAAATTATCTGTCTAATGGTCGAGTGTTCCTGCTACTACTTTTGGTACAACTATTACTACTACTACAACTACGTATATGGTTTGTATATCCGGGAGTCTAACTACATTATATGCCTGCACTGTCTCTATACCTGATGTGTCTACCAATCCCTTTCTTCACCGTCAGCCACCAGTACTAGGTCCCACTTGACTCTCAAACCCCTGAAATGTTATGAGTTGAATAAATTATATAACTACATTACTACACTAAGTTAATATATTGTTTCCTCGAACCTACATAGTTAAGCTGTAACTGATCTGTTTACAGCTAGGGACAAAATTCTCCAGTTAATGTGATTGTCATTTTAACACATTTATTCACTTGTACCTTTATATGTATAATGTTTTCTCGTCGTCATTTTGACATAATTCATAATCAAGAGTATTGCTCTCCAGCTACAAGTCATTCGCATACGATATATAACGCTCAGGTAAATATGACCACATTTTCCGGTAACTTTAGCAACTGCATTTCTTCACTCTTAAAATATACCACAGGAAGACTGCGTAATACTTCCCAGGTAGTGCATGAGTGTATAAAACACCTTACTGCCTCATCCTGAAGTTGACTGGCCTTACTTGCAACTGCCCAAGGACAAATGACCTTCCTGCCAATACCCTAAGGTCAAAAGACCTTACCTGCCACTAACCTCAGGTCAAAAGACCTTACCTGCCACTAACCTCAGGTCAAAGTACCTTACCTGCTACATATAGGTCTAATACCCTGTAAATCTCGCCTATTTTGATAGCCTATCTTTCTACTTCCCCTTGGAACTAAGTGTTCCTGCACCTCTCTTCTCCCTCTCCGCGATGAAACTTCCCCTTTATATTTCCCCCTAGTGGTCATGTGCTGTTTCTATTGTTTCCCGTGTGAGGTAGAGAACCATCTGTCAGTTACTCCAGTCCTGTAACACTCAACCTTGTTACTACTTGTTCATTTAACCTCCCCGTGTTCCTCTTCAAGAACCTTAAAATAACTAGATAAATAAACTTAATGCTTTTATTTGACCTCCCCTAATATTGCCCTTCACCAAACTTGTGTGTGTATGTATATCAGAGTTGTTAGGGTCACTTACCTGCAGTACATAATAACATACTACTATCAATCACACAAGCCCCCACCCTGCCGCCTTCAACGATGACGCCCATCTCTTTGCACTAACTGTAATGTTAACCCCTTCAATAAGTTAAACAAAATAATATTAAACACTTAATTCATAGTTATACATTACCACGCTCAGCAGGTGTTCACAAAGGTGCATGATAGACAGTTAGGTAAATAGATATAGTTAGTTGGAGAAAGTGTCCCTCAGCCATGATAATATCTCACTACTGTTCCTCCACCATGATAATATCTCACTACTGTCCCTCCACCATGATAATATCTCACAGGCTCAGCCATGTTAATATTGTTATTATTATCCACTCTGTATCTGCATTTTTCTGGCTAAATAAACTGTTACAAAAAAAAATAAACTGTTACACTAATTAGGTACGGCATGACCCCTCGCACGTAGGAAACGTAATCAATCAAGTCAGTAAAGACGACGAGCATGGGTCAGTGTGAACACAGCCTCAAAGTCGATAGTCCGCCAACCCCTGTCCCTCCCCACACCATTACCTCCTGTCCTTCCCCACACCACTCACTACCCACCCCCCTGTCCTTCCCCACACCACTCACAACCCATCCCTCCCTACACCTCCACTACTCAACCCCCATACCCCCTCCCCCCTACCTAAGTGCCAGTTATTGATCCGGGAGCGCCTTGGTTTGTGCGTATCAGTGTTAAGTAATCAACTCCGGCAGCCACAACACCTTTTGTCAATATTGGCGTCACACACACATTACTTTACACCACCCCTCTCACTTCATCTCATCTCTCTACAAGCCTCTCACTTCATCTCATCTCTCTACAAGCCTCTCACTTCATCTTATCTCTCTACAAGCCTCTCACTTCATCTCATCTCTCTACAAGCCTCTCACTTCATCTCATCTCTCCCTACAAGCCTCTCACTTCATCTCATCTCTCCCTACAAGCATCTCACTTCATCTCATCTCTCCTACAAGCATCTCACTTCATCTCATCTCTCCTAAGCCTCTCACTTCATCCATCTCTCCCTACAAGCCTCTCACTTCATCTCATCTCCCAAGCCTCTCACTTCATCTTATCTCTCAAGCCTCTCACATCTCATCTCTCTACAAGCCTCTCACTTCATCTCATCTCTCCTACAAGCCTCTCACTTCATCTCATCTCCCTACAAGCCTCTCACTTCATCTCATCTCTCCCTACAAGCACTTCATCTCATCTCTCCCTACAAGCCTCTCACTTCATCCCATCTATCCCTACAAGCCTCTCACTTCATCTCATCTCTCCCTACAAGCCTCTCACTTCATCTCATCTCTCCCTACAAGCCTCTCACTTCATCCCATCTCTCCCTACAAGCCTCTCACTTCATCTCATCTCTCCCTACAAGCCTCTCACTTCATCTCATCTCTCCCTACAAGCATCTCACTTCATCTCATCTCTCCCTACAAGCCTCTCACTTCATCTCATCTCTCCCTACAAGCCTTTCACCTAATTGATAACCCATTTCTATCGCTACTACCATCATAACTACCACTATTTGTACCACTACAGTATTACTCGCACCAACAACCATCACTACTAGTACAGACAAGCACCACTGTCAATACCACTAACATAACTACTAGCACAGCGAGCACTGCTAATACCACCAACTACCACATTGACCACCAGTCCACTACTAGTACCAGCAATCACCACCAGTCCACTACTAGTATCAACAATCACCACTAGTCCACTACTAGTATCAATAATCACCACCACTAGCTACCTTTACTCGGAGGCAATCTTGGATTCAGGACGCCAGTCCAGTCAATTTAATTGCTGAGCGTCTGTGTTCAAGAAAACAAAACATTAGACATGGCAAAATTCAAAAGGTAAAGTCACTCACCACACGTAGAACTCGACAGACTTCAGGCAACACATCGCCATTTACATCCACTTAATAAAAGGCACAAATGGCGACACTACAGCTGCCATAACCTCCCGGACAAGACAATCGGGTTATAAATTTTACCCCGTAGCTTTGAAACAAAATCTAGAAACATTCAGGGTAAAATATCCTCCACAGTCCCCATCAGTTATTTATCTAAACAGCTTAACATTTAAATTTACCAGTAAGACATGGCTACCACTTGAAAGGGAATGAGTAAATATATGCATTGCTAATTTTATCTACCTATCGATCTAAGTTTCATATAAATTATTATCGTATTTGTATCACCTAAACACAACACCTTGTAGTGAGATAATGGACAGGAGATAATACTGTAAAAGGTTGAGTACGCGGCGGCTTGAGCGGGCAGCATTAGTGGAACTGGCAGCCCGAGACCCCCCCCCACCCCTCCCAACACACTCGCACTTGCGCTCAAGGTAATCGACTTTTCTAGTTGTTTCGTTTATACTTCAAGCTCAAAAAAATAAACTCTGGCTAATCATGTATATCAAGATGAACACGTAGGTGATGGTAACATATAAAATGAGTTCTAGTTGTCAAAAATAAATAAGAGTAGTTATGACAATCTGAAACCCCCCCCACCGCAGGAGCCAGCCCTTGAACACGTACCGTTAATACCACACCCAACTGTATTGTCTTTCCTCCCACCACACAACCAATACTGACTGTACTGTGTTGATAATGCAAAGTTGTATCATTGTTAACCATCCCAGGACTGTCACATGATCCCCGTCCTCCCTCCCTCCCTCCCTCCACAACTTTTCACTTCAAATCTGGCACGATGCCTTTTTGGAGGGTTGGACAAGTAAAAGACATTATGGCGTGAGTCCAGTAATCAGCCAGTCAACTATGTATAATCCTTGTGGTACATTTGGGGATATACGGCTAACATAACACTGACTTTTTGTCACAAACCCACCAGCAAGTCTTTCATTCATACATACACAACTCCATAATTATGTGCACCCTTCATATGGCCTCTTAACTTAAGAGCTGTGTGTAGTGGCAGCGTCGCCTGCAGCAGTGCGCGACTCCCAACACAGGTGTGGAATTGTCGCCTCCGGTACACCTGGTGTGCTGTAAAAACATATCTAGTCAGTCACTCCTGACAAACTATTAAACGCCAAAATTATGACCGACACAGATGTAAGATGCTGTATCTCTGAGGTGGATGGGGGGGGGTCTATTCTTACTAATATTCTAATTTGAGCTGAAACACTCACACCAATACAATCGCACTTATATCTCACATGCCACATACAGTATACTTAAATCTAATAAGCAACTACCCACCCCCCAAAAAATATATATATATATATATATATATATATATATATATATATATATATATATATATATATATATATATATATATTTTGTCGCGTTGTTGAAAATTACATCAATGCAGAGATTGGACAACTCTAAGCACAAAAACAAACAAAACTTGTCACAGCTGACCCACACAGCCTAGCCTGGCTTCGTATGTAACCGTAACACACACACGCCTCACATTCTCAAAAGGTTTGTTAATACGCACTCACATTCATCCTGGTAAATGGTAAACAGAAATGTGAAAATGCACTTGTGACTAAACTAAAACACATTACAACAAATATACCCCCGCTATAGCACAAAAATTACACCGTATTTAAATTACATGTTACATTGGGGAGGGCAGGGCTCGTTACATTCGCAATGTATCTCGTAATTCAACACCCAAGGACTCGTATTCTCACTAAGCTCAAACACAGTACGTAAAAAAAAAAAAAAAAACGTTAAACACGATCCAACACCTACTTGCCAAGTTCACCAACTATCGAGTCAGCTGTATCGAGGATGTTTTGTTAAGATTATCCTATCTCCCAACTATTCTTTCATTAACTGTTCAAATGTCTAATTTATTCTTATTTTTACTAAGTATTTTATCATTTAGCTCAAGTTCAAAAGTTAGTTCCTTCTTTACACTTCACTTAAGAAATATTTATCATACAATCCCCCCCCCCCATCCTCGAAGGGACCACCAGCCCACGGGTGAGAGGCGACGGGTGGCGGTGTGGATGTTTGAACGTTGTAATCTGACATTTTAAAGTAGACACCACGTGGTCACCCGCCACAGCTTCCGCTTTAAGCACAAAAATCGATGAGTTTCTGACCACACTTCAACCTTAAGACATCAACTGGAGTTAACGGTTGCCACCATACAGTTTTTGAAAATTTTATTCTATAAACACATTCACGTCTACCAATTACAGGTCATGCAAATTTGGAATTCCTTATAAAAAGCAGGTGTGAGGAAGATCTCCAACACCTACATATAATCTATACACTATCACCTTGATAATTATGACCCCTTATTTGTTCGCAGTTAAGAACTTAATGACTATTACCTACTAAACGCAACGGTGTTAAGACATATTGGCGAAGACAAGTTAGGGAAGGTTAAATTGGGTATGGTTTAGGTAATGTTGAGATTAGATTGAGGCTAAGATTAAATAAAATCAAGGAAAGGTTAAAAAGTTAAAGCTAGATAAGGTTCATGACTTTCCCCCAACTTTAACACCACATGAGCCCTAAGTACACTACAGTAGTTAACATTATAACAACCCCCTACACTATTACTAGACACCTCACCATTTGGTAATTATACTATTTACTCTAACAATAAATCCAGCTAAACGTGACTTACCTCTAAACACTTATAAAGATAATCACTTCCATCTCGACTGATCTATAGATACTGTACTTTAATCTCAAGACTAAATTACTTACTTTTTATCTCAGGACTGACTTAAAATACTTCTCAAGGCTGACTTAGATACTTACTTTTATCTCAAGACTGACGTATGATAATTTTATCTCAAGACTTGGGATGCTACAGTTACCTCCACAACAGAAATACAAAACTATACACCTCAACACTTCAGTTTTTGTACACAAACACAACACTGAGGTCCCCAAAACAGTAGAGTACCACCAATATTTACGAGCTTGAACCAAGAGGTATAAAGATATGAACATGAATAAAATATACACTACTTTCATGTTTAGCTAGTCAAGCCATTCAATACTTTAAATTCTAAAGCGACACAAAGGTGCGATTATCTTGAATGTTACAACTCAGCAACACAATCAACAAGTTGCGTATAAGGTACGCAATGCTGGCAGACACCCTGAACACGCGAGTTGGGGGGGGGGACCCTGTGAGGGAGGAGGGGGGTAACTACTGAGGGGAGGCACTACACACCACGTGGTGGAGGAAAGATAGATGGGACTAACAAACAGGGGAGGGCGGGAGACGTTAGTAGCATGATACTGACATTTTTTTTAAGACAACTTGATCCTACTATAGTACAAGATAATTAACTGTACAGATTTTTAAGGTATGAACAATACTAGGAGGGAGGGGTGGTACAGGGGTACACGTTATTACTCACCTAACATAACTAACGACTTTCGTTATAATCATGTAACAGATGACCTACAACAGATGGCTGCCGACGACCTCCTGCAAGCTCCGGCCCTCACAACGCCAGTTCAGTAACAACCCACATTCTCCCTCCCTGCACAACTGTTACAGTTCAAACACCTGTGACGTGCTAGAACACCTGTAAACTTCAACCAGTCCCTTTTATCGTTACCTCTTCTAACTACCTTAATCACTGGAGATAATATCATAATCCTTAAGCGTTACGGCTAACAAACGTTACTCTACTTCTCAAAATGTTAGTAGCTACACACTAGCGTGACACATTACCGCAATAGGGGGGCTGCTACAGTTAACATGCATGGCGTATGAAAATACTAACCAAACACAAATTCACCTAATATCAGTGTAACTACTACTACACAACTATACAGGTCAAAGTGTGGTCAAATACTGTCACGACGTACGGATAGGGGGCCACATCTCGGCATAACGAAATATTAGATTCATGAATTCCTCTGTATCTCACGATAAATTTACACACTGGATTGGATAAGTTTGCCTCAAATCAACTGTTAATCATACAAATTGTCATAAATAAAGTCAGATGTACCTTAACACGCAGAAGTGAGTAACTGGGGCGATCACCCACCAAATTACTGGAGGTTGACGCTACACAAAGTGAGGACTAAACCGCGGGAAGGTGGGAGGTCCGGCCGTTAGGGAAAGAACCCTAACACACCATTAACTTAGCTAGGCGGTCAGCCCGCCCTCTCTTACCTCCTCCTAAATTTCTCCAATTTCCGAACTATAACCAACTTCCTTCCCCCACCTCTAATCTTCTTTCACTCTGATTTTTCTACAAAAAACACACATGCGTAAAGAGTAGGGGGGAGAGGTTGAAGTTTATTGGAGGGAGGTACTCAACGGGGATGGGTGTAAGGGAGGTGTACTCACTGGGGGTGGGTGTAAGGGAGGTGTACTCACTGGGGATGGGTGTAAGGGAGGTGTACTCACTGGGGATGGGCGTAAGGGAGATACTCACTGGGGGGTGGGTGTAAGGGAGGTGTACTCACTGGGGTGGGTGTGGGAGGTGTACTCACTGGGGATGGGTGTAAGGGAGGTGTACTCACTGGGGATGGGTGTAAGGGAGGTGTACTCACTGGGGATGGGTGGGGAGGTGTACTCACTGGGGATGGGTGTAAGGGAGGTGTACTCACTGGGGGGTGGGTGTAAGGGAGGTGTACTCACTGGGGGTGGGTGTAAGGGAGGTAGCAAATGAGTGCTTTACGAAAGGTAATCACGAAGGTTAAGGAAGGTACATGGGGCGTAGAGATGGCCGGGTGTGGGAGTTGGTAATAGGAGAGGGGGGAAGTGGAGTAAGGAGGGGTGGGGGTGGAGGGAGGGAGTAGGAGGAAGGGGAGTAGAGGGGTGGGAGGGAGGAAGGGGTAGAGGGGTGGGGGAGGAGGAAGGGGGGGGGTGGGAGGGAGGAAGGGGGAGAGGGTGGGAGGGAGTAGAGGGAGGAAGGGTAGAGGGGGTGGGAGGGAGGGTGGGAGTAGAGGGGTGGGAGGAGAGGGTGGGAGTGGGGTGGGAGGGAGGGTGGGAGTAAGGGGTTAGAGGGAGGGAGAGGGAGGAAGGGGTTAGAGGAGGAGATGGAGGAAGGGGGAGGGGTGAGTGAGATGAAGGAAGGGGGTAGAGGGGTGGAAGGAGACGGAGGAAGGGGGTAGAGGAGTGAAGGAGGAAGGGGGGGGTAAAGGGAGAGTAAGGAAGTAGAGGAGGAGATGGACTAAGGAGGGAAGTGGCGGAGGATGGGGATAGGGAAGCGGGTAGTCATATTAAAGACAAGGAACTAAAGTGTATGAACTGAAAATGTGAGTGGCGAGGGAGTCATGACGTAGCGTAGCGGTGTGTGAGGGGCGGCCGGTCAGTGACGTCAGGACAGGGGGACTGCTGTTGGCGGGAGTGCAGGTGTGTCGATGGAAGAGGGGGGGGCTGAACGAGTGGCTGTGTAATGTGAACGGTGAGGGTAGTGTTGAAATTCTGGGGTGGAAGGCGATACTAGGTCGAAGGTGAGGTAATGGAGGGAGAGACAGAGACAGCGGAGGGTGGGGGGTTAGCGGATGGCGCGGGGAGTGAGTAGTGGGTGTTTCAAGAGGATGGGGGAGCGAGGCAGGAAGGAGAGGGGGGGAGGCAAGGAGAGGGGGGAAGGAGAGGGGGGGCAAGAAGGGAGGGGTAGGATTGAAGTACGTAGTGGCTAATACGCGATAAGGTCAGCGTTCATTACTAATAAGTTACTTGGACGATAATAATTATAAGCCCGTGAATATAGCCATTATATTGTAAAATATTTAGTTATTGTAAATCATCCATAACGCCCGTCGAACAAAGACGTACACCCGCCAGCTTGGTATTTTTCACTACGTAACTCCTAATACGTGAGTTTCATCAAATATCGAAGCAGTATTAGAGCTTGTACGTCAACTCAATACAAAACAATCTAAATCGCCCGAGTTTATAGTCAATTAGAAAATCTAGTTAATTTTCTGAGTGCTGTACATCTGGCATCAGACGGCGTGAGTCAGACCTGGCAGGTTTCCGGCAGCTCTTAAGAGTTCCAACATGACCACTCAACGACTGATTTCTTAAAAAATTAGATATTTATTCAGTGACTTTACGCCTATCGCTTATTTTAATCAACGTTTCTAGTATTCACAGTTTCATCACTTCACATTATCTTCTTCATCCCTCCCTTCCCTTCACTTCACCAGACAGTGTACGACGTAGTCATCGTTGTACTGTAGTGGCTCGGCTCCTCTGCTCCCTCAACCCTGCCAAGTTTCAACCAATCATCAAATTATTAATTAATAAAAAATCATACATCATTAACTAATCCTAAGAGGTACAACAGCAGCAATAACATAAAAATGTACACAAGTTAGGAGATTGGTAGGCCTGACGCTTTCACTATTACACGCAACTATGCAAACCAACACGATTGTTTATATTATATATATTGAAATAACTTATGTATATATAGCTAACGAGGCCAAACCTGCATGGCGTGACACAAGAAGAAGAAGGGGAACAACTGCACGAGAATCACAGATGGGAAGAAGGGGTTCCCTGCCTGCCTCTGTCTTCTCCGGCGAAGAATACTTTACCTTAATAATCAATTTTTGCCGTTTTTGATCAAATCTGGGGGTAAATGAAAATAGAGTGAGTTGACTAGGCCTATGTCAATGTATGATATAGGAATATCAACTCTAAAACGCAGAAAAATAAACCAACAGGACGGCAAAAAAAGGTTCTTGTGAGAGCTCCGTCCCGGTATGTCCTACTCGTGTGCCTCCTGGCCAACGAATAATGGCGCCACCAAGCGACGGGGCTCACACTGATGACGTCACGCAAGGATTCCCGATGTTTCTCTCTAAAACTATGACTTTCGCTCACAACCATAACTTAACGCTCATCAGCGCCGCTTCCCTTTGCTGTTTTGAATGTAGAATACTAAGATATTTGCTATATTTAAATAACTCGTGGCATGTGTTGAGGCTAGGGCGTTCTCTTTATTACAGTTGCCGAGTTTATATATATATTGGTAATATTATCTCTTTTATGAGCAAAGAATGAATACAATTCACTTTCATAATCAACTATTTTATTACATGTACTACTTGATAAAATACAAAGATTTAATTTGGTCTGGGTAATATAATTGTTGAAAACACAGCCATCAGTGGCCGTTGCAACACCTTGCCACTTGTGAAAGTTTCGAGGACAAATTTGAACGTCCCGCCATAATACTTTCTCAGTATATTTCTAACACATGCATTCTTCTACATTAGTTGATCAGAAACAAGGCAAGTTTTATATTTATTTATCGTATTCTGTGTCGTCTTTTCAATATGAATGTAGATGCTCTATAAAAAGAGAAAGTGGCCGTATTATGCTCTTTTTCATAACTGTAAAAATACAAAACTATAATTGGTGAAGGAGTCGATGAAGATGTACTGTAGATGACGTGTTTATACAGCAGTAGATTTGGTTATAAAACTTTCGTCATTTTCTGACTCTGGCGAACATGAAGATTTTATATAATTGTTTACGTGCTAACCTTGGCCAAATTACCTTACTGTTTACCTGCAACTGTCTCGACAGAAACTGTATATACTCCCACGGCTTGCGTGGGATGTATACCTACATTTATCTATATCCATGCTCAACTGTATAATTGCAGATTTTATAACATGCTTATTCAATTATAAAACTTTATGACAATTTTACTGACACACACACACACACACACACATATATATATATATATATATATATATATATATATATATATATATATATATATATATATATATATATATATATATATATATATATATATATATATATATAATTTATATATATATTTATCAAGATTTATCTTATCCACGTTTTCATTGTGGATCTACATAAATATATATATATATATATATATATATATATATATATATATATATATATATATATATATATATATATATATATATATATATATATATATATATATATATATATATATATATGGACATAAGAATGGAGGAAACTGCAGCGGGCCTATTGGCCCATGCTGGGCAGTCCCATTTAGTGTTAGGACAGACCAGGAATCCAATGCTGTTTGTTCATTTGAGGGATAATAAGCATTGCCTTCACTGGGATAATGCCTCCTCAATATTACCTTGTAATTCAATTGACAGTAGGAACATCATAGAATCTAGTCTCATTAAACATACCGAATCCGTCAACATGAATTTGAGTAATGGTATGTACAAACTGGATAATTTCGTAATTAAGAAGATTTGTAACCAGGTGAGAAGGTTGGGTCAGCTTACCCTCTGACCTGACTACCGACCGCTGCGGTGCTTTTTTTTTGAAGATTAGTAGGGTCATTACCTATACCTGACCACTGTGGACTTGATCTCACCCTCCTCTGTATATATATATATATATATATATATATATATATATATATATATATATATATATATATATATATATATATATATATATATACAGTACCTTGTTTTGTACTTCTCCTTAGTCTTTACTCACCCCTGAAGATGTGAATTACACAAATAGGGTGGTGGACGAGTGGAACAAGCTTAGCAACTTTGTAGTAAGTGCGGGAACTCTGGAAAGTTTCAAAAGGAGGCTAGATAGATTCATGGATGATAGAGTGGTAGTAACTCTCGACAGGAGCTGCCATGCACAGGCCAACCGGCCTATTGCAGACTCCTTATTTTCTTATGAAAACGCTTGGGAACTTCGTGTTTTATTTTTCCTTGTGGTTATCGGCATATATATATATATATATATATATCCTGTGGTTATCAGCATATACCTGGATCACGCGCACCTACAGTGATTTACTTGCATATATATATATATATATATATATATATATATATATATATATATATATATATATATATATATATATATATATATATATATATATATATATATATATATAATCATGTAGATCCGCAATGGAAACGTGGATAAGATTAATCTTGATAAAATCACAATATTAGAACGGCATACTGAAAGCAGTGCACTTTTCGTTCATATTAGGAACAATAATCATCTAGTTGAAGCAAGTTTGATTAGAGAAATTAATTCTTTAAACGTTAGTGATGGTCAGTACAAAATTGATATGTTACACAAATTTATTTGTCAGTGGCCCAAGGTTAAAAATGCTTTGAAAACATTTGAGGTAGACGTAGGATAGATGATTAGTGAGTCATATTTTTTACCTGATCTGACGTGACTAGTTATGTCGCCTGTTCTTGTAAGTTCTAATTATGTTTGCTGTGGTGGTTGGTGTGTGGATTAGTGGATGTCATGTTTTAGCTGAGAGAAGGGTTATCACCCTTGGGGGTGAATTACATGATCTCACACGAGGTGTCCTCACACAATGTACCCACAGAGGGCGACCTCACCTTACCTGGAGACCAGGCGGTAGAGGATGACCTGATAACGAGATCTGAGGTCATTTGGCCGGTCATTGCCGTTTATAGTAACTTGGAAGACACATAACAACGTAATGGAGGAAGGTACTCAAAATGATCTAAATTATGCTTACGTTGATTACTTGATTATACACAAGAATCCGAAAAAAAACGTCAGTGAAACAAATGGGAATCCTGAACAGTCATGCACCGATCCACAAGTAGAAATCACCCCTGATAAAATTGCAGTTTCACACCGTAGTGTTATCAAAAAAAGAAAACGAGAAACCCGTTACAGTTCTATTGAAGAAATGGTTCATATAATAAGGGAAAACGCTTCCTTGAGAAAAAAAACAAATACAAAAAGAGGCAAGCAAGAGAAATAGATGTAACTGTTATGTTTTTCTTTAGCATGGCGAAGATGTAAAAAAAAATTACACTTGAGTAATGTATTGCACGCAAAAATAAGCATGAATGAATTACAACATTAACAGCATCCTCAGTATCAAATTCAGCATTAACTAGTAATTCAGTATATTCACCCCAAATGGACACTGAAATGGATCCATAGAACCTAACAACTGCAGAAACCAATAGGCCTTCAGTGTTAGAACTTACAGGTTTTCAATTTGGTCCTTAAAACAAATAACTAATTTTTTTGTTTCAAAATTAAAAAAATATTGTTTTTTTCAAAATTGAAACATTTGGTAATTTTTCTTTATTCAAATTGAAAACAAAATCATGTTTCATAATGAATTTTTTTTAAATTGAAAAATTTAATATTTCGTTTCAAGTTTGAAAAAAGGTAAATTTTCATGAGTTGAAAAAAAAAGTAAATTTGCATTACAAGTAACCATTTTACCTTAATAAACTTTTTAAATAATAGCTGTATTATTTAATACTTGCCCCGGTACCTTAGACATACAGCTAATTTTTCACCAGTACTGAGTGAAGCACAAAATTGTGTATTTTGCTTTTGTATGTCTTCTTTAACGAGATCATGTAAAAAAATACATTCTTCCTGGTTCATTCTGAAATACATATGGTATCAACTTGGATGTTCTTCTAGTTCTTTAACTAAGTGATGAAATTCACCCATTTCTTTTCTTTTTAAGTTTAGCTCGTATATCCACCAAGACTTCGTTAGGGGTGGGCTTCCGGGGCTTTAGCCCCGAATCTTTTCAAGGATTAATAATGTTTTAACTTCAGGATTCACTTCCATCCATATCATATGAATTTTATATGAGTGTCCTTAATTTATCAATCACAACTCCTGATGAGTCCTGCTGTTACACAGTGCCTTGAGGAGATTGGAACAGCCATGGCAGTAGGTCTTAGAGCAAAACTGGATGAACGCGAATAGTGCTTATGTGCAGAAGGCCAGATGGGATTTCCCAAGGAATCACACTCCTATGTACCACCCCCCCCCCCAGACCCCAGCAAGGGAATGCACTTCATATCATCATGGGTTGCTCCACTCAGGTAAGAGATAAGTTTTATCAGGAGCTCTTCAGACTGAAGGAGGGAGAGCCTAGTGTTTGTATGCTGTACATAAAACATAATTGCACCTGCAAAAATTCCATGAGACATCTTTTCTCTTGGATAAAACCTAACTTTTGTACAAGAAAAAATCAAGAGCTGTGAAATTCTTTGGGTCCAGTCCTTTAAAATTCCCACATTTATCACCATCTTATGTAAAAAAAAAAAAAAAAATCCAGTCACTATTATTTTCTTGCACATATCGGGTAGTTCAGATTTGAAAGTCCATTGTCCCTGAATTTTTTTCAGAAAAACTTGACAAGTTATTAGATACTGTATAGTTTTCATATCTTCAACCTATTACTGTACTGTACTGTACAAGTTGTACTGTATTTTACAAATTGATTGTTACTTGTCTCTTAACATTATGCCTCCAAGAACTTAACGGTGGAAAAAAATCCAATTTGATCGTCCCCCCCCCCCCAAAAAAAATCTAATACAGTATATCTGCATTTACGCGGTCAATTGAACCCGTGGAGGCCCGCGTAAAACGAGAAATGCGTAAATGAAATAACAGAACATATGGGATTAATTGAAATAGAGACTGGGCCGACCCCCAAACTCCACTTTTTCCGACACAATACGTGCGTTGTAGTAAAAATAACATCTTAATTTTATGATGGTAAGCACACATAATTAATAATTAAGAGAAATATCAATAATATTAGGTTTTTTAACACTTACGTTAGTAGAATAGCTGGGTCGGCACACATGGATGGCGGCTGGTTCCGAGGCAGATTAGTTGCCCTCCGGTGAATCACTTTCACTACTCACAGGGGTTTGCAGGGCCACCCTGATAAACCCCTCAAAGTCCATATCGTCACTATCACTGACTTGGGCTGGCTGTGGTTGTGGTGGGTTGCAGGCGAGGAAGTCCTCAATACTACGTTGACGACTAGCCTTGATGTTGTCTAGATAGATCTGGATATACAGCTCCATAAATTTCGTCAGATGGTTATTAGATGCTTCATACCGATGCTTGTCTGGGTAGTTGTTAAGGATGAACTTAATTTTCTCCCCCAACTCGATGATTTCCTTCACACAATCATGGCTTGGTCCAGGAAATTCAATATTTTTCTCTGGTAGTGGGGGTCCCGCATAAGCCATTGTGAGGGGAATAGCGGGCACAAGAGAGAACTGAGAACAATGAGACAGGCCCTGCTAGGTCAGCGACTTCTTCCCTCCCGTGGTAGGGCACGTCATATTACATTAAACCAATCACAGCTAGTGGGGGAGGGTGGTAAGGATGCGTGGCCCAATCACAGTCCGATACGTCATATGACGTCACCGATAATGCAACAGTGACATACTCTGCACTTTGCCGCTTCCCCCAGCGTGTGGTCAGGCATGGCGGGAGGTTTGAATCCAGAATGGCGCGCTGGTTGACCAGCTGTCAGAAAACCAAAATTACTTTAATTAAAGCATTTTCATTCTGGCAAGGCACGCGGTAAATGACAAAACGCAGAACAAAAGCCGCATAATGCAGACTATACTGTACTGTACTGTTTTGGGTTTGGTTAGAATACATGGAATTTGAAATGTTCAACCTGTCTTATTTTCAATCTTGTAAGTCATTTCCTGATAAGGTATATAAGGATGGTTGGAAGGGAGCACAGAAACTCCTTATTTGAAGATTTCACAGTCATTCAAAATCTTGAAATGGATGGAAAATGTGAACCCGTGCGATTTTTTGTGATATCACGCACCACCAACACAAGGGACATAACCTCAAGCTCGCCAAGTTATCATGTAGAACGAACATAGGAAAATATTCACACAGAGGGTGATAGATCTATGGAATGGTCTACTAGCTCAAGTTGTGGAATCGAGAAAGTACTAGGCTTCAAAATAACCCTAGACATAATAATCAGGAACACTGGAGGTAACCTAGTACATAAGCCACTGGTCTCCTTCCCTCAGCATAGCTACCTCTTGTAGCTAAATTAGGTAAAATGTCTTGTTTATAGAATTATAATATAATTGATGATATTATGTTACAGTACAGTAATCTGCATTGATGAAGAAAGGATATAAAAATATCAATAACATTATCTTAAAAGAAATTTTAACTACTACTGTACAGAATATACAATGCACAACAGACAAAGAATTTTAACAAAAAAAGTGTATAGAATACTTAGTGGTCACACAATCTGCAGTTTTTATCATCAGTGTCTGGTGAAAAATTGTTTTTCTCCATGCTGGCTCCCCTCGGTCACATACAAGATATTAGTTAAAGCTTGTCAGCCTGATGGAGGTTGGTTGGAGCGTATGATGCCATGTCTCTGAATATTAATCAGGAATTATTACAATGCCTCAAGATTACAACACAATACCATCCAACCAAACCATCCTGGGGGTACCAGTAAGCTCCTTTATCCTGGGTTTGCCTACCACATCCCTAGATTCTTTCATTATGTTGCTGCCTGAAGACAAGAACCTCATTCACTATATATACTGATTCAAATCATAAATAATTACCTGATAGAAATGAAGATTTACAGATAATATTCTTGTCATTGTTTTGTTAACATCACTGGCAGCAATGCCCAGTTAGACTCATCACTAGCCACATTCTTCTAGCCCTCCCACTAACAGGCCAAGCTGTGAGGTATTACTGGTTGCTAGTGTCTGTAAATAATCCAAGGAAATGCATGAATTTTAGCATCTCAAAAATAAATTGCATATGTAGTGGTATCCCCTACTTTTTGCATAAAAATTTGATCATAAAAACTAGGAACTGTATATTTTTTAATGTCTGAAAATTTGCTGCACAGGAGATGGTAAGAAGGTTACATCTGCAGCAGCAAAAAGGTTAAATTGAAAATTTCTGACTCAAAAGATATGTGATTTCACCATTAATATACTAGAGCTGTGTGATTTACTAAAAGTGTAGATCACCCTTTGTGATAATGGGTTTATGTAGTTGTCCTGTGAGTGTTAAGTTAAACACTTGGTTTTAAGTTTAATTTTACATTTTAATGCTTCTCTTCGACATCATTCAACATGTATCTTGAAGTGTCAGCATTTATGTACAGTAAACACTTGGTAAATATTGAGATACTAGCAGATAAGTGTACAGCCTACTTTATTAAGTTTGCTTGTCTCACATTCAAATTTGTTTCTTTGCAGTGATGATTTATCAAGAGTGGTTTCTACTTCCAATGGGGTTCCCGGCCTACACTCAGGATACTGCTCGGTGTAGAAGCTATGTAATTCACCATGTTCCACCAACATGTCAATTTTCATCTGAGGGAGAAAACAAAATAAAAATAAATCAAGTTCTGTACAGTACCTTATTTTACTTTGTCTTACAAAAGTTACAATCATCTGTATGGCATTCTTGAAATACAGTAGATACTTCTAGCAGTTGATTCCACTTTCAGATGTTATTTTTGGGCTTTAGTTTATATCAACCTGTTAGGTGCATTCTTATGTTAAGTAAATGAGAAATGTTTATTGTTTCATGTTCACTTAATCATGTGCCTTCATGCTTTCTTTACAGCTGTTTCAGAAGCATCACAGTGATATCTGTAGGGAAATAAATACTGAAGATATACTGTAGATGTAGATCCATAATTCTTGTTCCAAGGACAGTTACTCTTACTAGAGAAACCCATGAAGATCCAGTACATCTCTCTCAATATGAGATGTACACTTTCCCAACAACTGGGGGAGAATATTGATTCACATACAAATTGTTTACCCATCTTTGTGTGATATAATTATATATAATACAATACTAGTAAGTCAGGATCCTTGATTTGATGAAAGAACAAAATACAGGAATACCTCATTCTCATATTCGTACGTAAGGCCCGCTCACACAAACGCTTTTTTCCCATGTGTAAGGACCAACACCTTTTAGAAATTAATGAATTTCAATGGGAATGTTCACACGGAGCACAAGTGTGAAAATTTACGGGCAGGAGATGCTCTTCCCGCATCAGTACCTGCACTTCCAAATCGTGACGTAAAAAAATACACCGAGTGTTCTAGAATTCTTCATGTGGCAATGGTACATTCTACTTTAAATGTTTACACTTTACTAACATCATGCACACACACAATGTTATTGTAATTATCTTATTGCAGTATATTGAAAAACATGCTGCTATAATATAAGAAACATGAAGAGCATAGATGTGTAAGCGAGTGAAATGAACGCGGTGTGTGTGGACTTGGCAAGTCACTAAGTTAGCTTGTCCCCATAGCTACATCCTCCACCTCTTCCTACCGGGCAAAACTGTGTTATCGTTATTCTACAACTCATAATTTCAGGATATTCTTATTTGTATTATTATTTTTTAAGTCTGTTACATGCACACAATTGTTCATACAGAATATGCAAAAAAGTAAATATGAAGGAAAACATTCTCATAATGTAAAAAAATATATAAGAGAATAAATATTTCTGCACAAAAACCATATTTAAATTACAGGGTATTGTTGGAAGCTAATGGTTCTGGCATATACAGTACTGGTGGCAGGCAGATTACACTAGGCAGTCATATTTGAATTAGTCTCATAAAATGGATAATTAAAGTCTACAAAAAGTACAAAGTGAACCCTGAACATGTTTCCGGTGATTATACCAAACATTATTCAAGGTCAATGTTAACCGAAGTACTGTACTGTACCTTCATGAAAAACAAAATATATACAGTACTGTATTATCAAAAGGGTTTATTAGACATACCGGTATTTCCTTCATCACAAGTGAGTCAACTTTTTTGTATGTTATATGGAGGAGAAGTCTCAATACAGCATGTGTGATGAAGTGCTGTTACTGTATTTGTTCAAGATGGAACTATAGGATCCGCATACAACAACTGGCTTCATTACACACAACTCTGACTCATAAAATGGAAAGCTTGTTTTCTTTTCTTGCCTTCTGGCTATTTTGCAGGTGGCCAGAATCAAGACCAATCCAGATTCTTCCTTCCTTCACTGCCATTTGTTCTTTTAAGCTGGCATAACAGTCGTGTTCTTGTTCCTCTTCCACACCGAGGAAAGCTCCAAGACACTCACTTGGTTTATTCATGTACATGGTTTCCAGTTTTGTATCACAAATATGCTCACCCAATCCATACCATACCCCATTTAACACCAAAACAAAGCGTTTACCTGTTCGTGGTTGCGCTTAGCGATTTCTTCAGATATATGTCATAGCTTGGCAATGACTCATAAGGTGCATTTCTTTTTCTTTAACTGTACCCTGCCACACATTACATGCTGCAATAAAAAAATAGATGCAGTACACATTTTGAATCAATACTCTGCCCCTTATTCTTTCCATTTTGAGATAGAGCTGTTTGACAAATCTTGTGGAGAGAATTTAGGCAAGTGTTAGGGAAAGAAATTACAACTGAATAAAATTAGTTGGAAAAAATTACTATCAGTAAGGTTAATAGTTAAAATGTTCACATAAAGAATTTTTTCCTCCAGATTTTGAGTGTTTCTATTTGCAATGAAAGTTACTGAGTGATAATTGATGTGGCAGCATAGGTTAGAGCTTGACTTATTCTATGGAATGGTAGTTTGTGCCCAAGGCACTCCTAGTTCATCCAACTGTAAGTGGGTATCTACCTTCCAACTGGGGAAAGTGAAAGTGGCTGGGCAGATCAGCGTATGACATCCACTTAATGATTCTCACACACAAAACATCAAGGGGCCGATGCACACTTAACTCGTATCCTATTTCTTTGCAGATTTCACAATTTAAAAAAAAAAATATATAAAAAATAAAAATCTTTACATATTTTTTCCAAGATAATTCTAATAAGCTGGCAATAACAAGCAACATGCTTTTTAGGTCAGGTATCTTGAGGTAAATGTTAGGTAATAAGCGAGAAATACAAAAAAATATGCTTTTGACCAAATATGAAATATTTGACCTTGTAAATGACCTTCAAGCCAAAATATATTAGTATCTACCCACAGCATTATTCTAATGCTATGAGTGATAGATCTAGCATCGATACTTGCTTTCAACAGAAAATGTCACAACAAAAATTTTTAGAGCACCTTCTCATGAATGGCTGGTCTACTATAAGATGAATTTGCTTTTAAAGTGATCACAACAATGGTCACAGTAACTTACACGACCGAAATCCAGTTCTTCGGTATTGGGTATTTCATCTGCAGTGCGAACCTTGCTTGACTGAGGTGACGCGATCACTTTGGGAAAGTTGAGGGTCTCATCACGGAACTCAACTAGATGCAGCTGCTTCTCATCTGCTAATTTCTGATGTGTTTTCTGGGAATATATACAGTATAGACAGACAATGAATTTCTGTATCAATTATTAACACAAAATATCGGCCATTCAATTACAGAACATGGCCTACCTTTAACAAATCATGAGGACTGCTTATAAAACACTTGGCTTCCTTTGAGCAAAAATCACCCAAAAAATTTTAAAATCTAGTAAGGTGATCCAAGGAGAACCTCACTTACGTTTCAATACTTTGTACAGTATCATGCTAACAATACTGGCTGAGTCAGACATTAGCCTAATGTTGGACAGGAATACAGGAATTTCCTCCTGTATAGTACCTGTATATCTGAAGCCTGTAAGCAACACTTCCAGACACAAGTTATAAAGTAACACATCTAAAAGAAGATATAATACAGCCATAATCCCTTTCCTTCTCTTATAAACTCCACCTACCATACTTATGCAGCATTTACCAACTGGTCATTTTATGACAGCAGTATGAAACATACAGTACTGTTATTCACTTCAACACCTGCAGGGAGTACAATGACCTTATGAACTGCATTTTACAATCTAAGATTCCCCATTTATAAAACAAATCTAAAATCACATAGCAGTGTTTAAATTCAGTTCAAGACTGCAAAGTAGATTTTACAATTAATTTTTCTTAAGTATTTCAACCACTGTAAATAAAAATAGTGTGTTTTACTGATGTACTGTACCTGGTTAATGAGTCCTAAAAAAAATGCCTTGGTGAGGTTCTGAATATTGCTGGGACCTTCAACCTTAGCATGAATGTCCTTGATTCCAATGACTTCACATATGGTGCGGATGGCTCGGTGACACACTAACCCATGACCCTCAGGCACCTTTTTGACAAATATTTTTGTTTTGCCAAATTGAGTGAAGAAGTCATGGAGGACTGTAAAATAGAATAAAAAAATTATTAAAATATTTCCAAGACCTTTTTAAAGCTAGTATTGTATGGTGTAGAAGGGTAAAGGTGACACAATAAAGAGGGTGCACAGGGGTAATGTAGTACAGAAGGTGCACCCACTATTGTTAAAAGTAAATGTAAATACAATTACAGTACGGTATACATTATTAAAAAATAAATTAGATTGTTAGCACTCTCAGGGTTTCCACACAGAAAGATACATATAAAAATGTAAAAATCCCCAAAACTTTAAATATTTTATTCACCAAAATTTTTAATTACTGTATTAATATGAATTACTGTATACACAAAAATTTTAATACAGTGTACATTATATATAAGTAACTTCCTTCAATTTGGGAAAAAAAATTTTGTACCAATAAAAGCATAAACATGGAGTATGGCTGCCTCGCCAGCCTCTGGACCACAAGGGGTGGGGATGCCTAGCCCCCCAAGACCATAAGGGTGTGGCTGCTATCCCAACCCCTGGACTATCAGAGGTGTGGCTGCCACCCAAGCTCTCTCCTGAGTGTTAACAACATAGTAGAAATATAAAAGAATATCATAAAAATGACTTATTTTTTTTAATATTCTTTGTCACTCACCAGTGTGTTCATTGTAACGCTCAATGTAGAGAAGTCTTTGTCCTGCCATATTCTTCACTTTCCTAATAGCATCTGGCACAGTTGTAGCTTTAGCGAGGGCAAACCCACCTAAACCGTTGCCATTTCCAGTAACGACAAATATGCTCATTCGTCGTTTTCTCTAAGATGGCGGTCATGCAGGTCACAACTTTCAACTCAAGCACTTTTGTATCAAATCCTTCAAAAGTATCTGAAATAAGTCCATATTACTTCAATACTGTATTTTAATCTTTTTACACAACTTCGTTTCAGTAAAAATCCAGTATTGTATATGGTCACGCGTCACAGATGACTACCGGGGGTAATATTCTATTAAAATATCATCAGAGCAAATTACTGTATTTTAAACATATAATTTTAGTTTATTTCTTGTTAATTAAATGAACTGTAAGAATATTCTTTTAACAATCTAATGGTGTATCCAGTGTCGTCTTTAACAATCTAATGGTGTATCCAGTGTCGTCTTTAACAATCTAATGGTGTATCCAGTGTCGTCTTTAACAATCTAATGGTGTATCCAGTGTCGTCTTTAACAATCTAATGGTGTATCCAGTGTCGTCTTTAACAATCTAATGGTGCATCAGATCTCTAATAATCTAATGGTGTTTTCAGGAAACTGACAAGACACCCCTAAATGAAGTGCCAGAGCCCAGCATCTTATTTCTAATTCAAACTTTTTGTATTACTTATTTAAGTATTAAATGTGAAAGATTCCTGTACTCACAAAGCAAGACATTTAAATCATGGGTACAAGTTTTCTGTCAACCCAAAATCTACTTTACAAAATAAACTGTTTTATGAAATATTTGAGCATTCTAAATAAGGTATGAAATTTAAGAACAGAGAAACATTGTCTTTTTTATTTAATTTTCCATATATTATTACATGAGAGAAAATGAGGAAAACTGGTTCAGTGGCTGTGTGGGTGGTGGTGTGAGTGTTGAGTCTATACTTGGCTTTATGAATTTTGAAGTGTGGCAGACAAAAATTTGACAAGGAACTAAAAATTTAGAATTGATGGAATGAATATTAACTTGGTAGGCCCACACACTTCTGGTTATCCTGAGGTTATAGTGTTCTGTATCTAAATATGTAAACAATTGACAAATTCATTCCATGTTATTGAAACAAAAACTCTCAATAATTTAAGATATGTAGAAGGGATCTCCCAGATACTGTGGTGGGCTAATGGTAATTGCACTATTGTGTGTAATTCAACAAAACACAAACTAGAAGAATCTAAAGAGTAAAGAAAACAATGAGATATTCCTGTATGTGCAATAGTATGATGGACATTTCTGATAATTTTATAATTGTTAATGTTATGGTGGATTTTTTTCTGAACTGAATCACCAAGGCAACATGTCCCAACAGACAAGTGACAGCAGTAGAGGCAACATGTTCCAAGAGATAAGTGACAATAATAGGAATCCATGTGGGAATGTTGACTTTGTGTAAGATGAAGTGAGTGCCCAAGTGCTCCTTGTCACACCGACTTGGTCAATGAGCATAATAAGCCATCCACTGTGTGTTGTGGATGTTGAAAATACCCAGCATTATGAGTTTGGCTCTGGGATTATGTTGTACAGTATTTTAAGTACAGTTAAGTTAGTGAGAGAGTGTGAAACAATGTGCATCACAAGAACACCAGGAGAGCATGAGACACAGTGGACACAGTTGGTTTGGGTTAGGTAAGGTTGCTGGGATAGTTTAGGTTCTTACTACTAAGTTAGGTTGTTATATTAGAGTATTGGATTAGTTTAGGTTACTGCATTAGGTTATGTTAAAATATACCTTCTCCGATGGGATCTGGGATGCCAATACTCCTCCCAGGCATTTTAGTGCCAGACCAACCTCTCTCAAGAGGGTCTTCATTTGTTGAATTAGTTCTTTCCCACGTAATACTGGAGCATTCAAGCCAGGCCACACCATATTCACCTTTCCTAAAGTAAAAAAAATGATAAATTTGCCAATCATAACTTTGTAAACACTTTAATTAATGGTATTACAAAATATTACAAAAAAACAAGATAAGCATATCAAAATGTCAAACTACTTACCAACACCAATTATTTGACCCCTATTCAAATCTTTGGCTCTTCTCTTGCCAACACCCTTCCTGGCTCGCTTCTTTCAAGTTGCTCACACCTTGTCACGCCTTTCCATAACTGTGCAGCGGATACTGTAATAAAAATACTTCTTGGTAAAAGGCTAAACAAGAGCAGATGGATTGACAACACATATTCCCCAGACACAAATATGAGAGCCCATTCCTTAAAATTTAAATTATCATAAATCCCGAGTGATGTAAATTAAATCTCTGCATTCATGAATTACATTCCTGGAAACTTTGGGCATGCAAAATTAAAAAATAGAGAAACCTTTGTTTAATAGGAAAGAGGAGGTTAGGATTCCAGGTCAAACTGAGCATACGGTGGATGAGCACATATCTGCATCTACTGAGGTAAAACGTGAGTCAGTTGACACAGCACTGAAAGTGAAATATATAGCTATGGAATGTGCACAGAGTGGCTAATTACATCAATGATGAAAGTCGAGATTTCAAAAAAATCATCTAACTACCTTTACATTTAAACCTTATGTACCTAAAGATGAATCGATTGTAAACTGTAGGCCCACCAAGCATCAAAGATATGAGTTGTATGTCACATCTTGCATTGAGTTGGATTTGAAGGTGTTCAGACTAAAGAGATTAAACACACCAGTCTGATATGTAAAGTGCACCTAAACTAACATTTCATGAGACCAATACTGTATATCTATGATGTGACAGGTTAGGTAGAGTGAACTACTGTACTGTACTGTACTGTACAGTACTTATGATTGTGAAATATTCTCTTGAATATATCAAACCACATTTCCCACCCCATTAGCTGCACCACCTTAAGAGATGCACCTCTAACTTAGCAGGGAATATCTAGGGAATTTTTTGTTTTGGTTCTCAAGCAAGCAGTGTTTCCTCATCAGTGCTACTTAAACATCTGCCTTATATCTTCAATTACCTTAAATTAACAGTTCTCTTTTGGGCTTTTTCTTCCAGGAGGAACATTTATCATTAAGCTGGATGTTTTTACCCATTTTGGCTGGGGTTTCCTGAATTTATTATTAAACAAAAACTCATACAATATCATAAACTATACCATGAACGCATCTAAGTTTTGTTGGGTGTACCAGTAGCATTTGTTTTGTACTTGGTCAAACATTTGCTGTAGCGGTGAAGATTCGGAAAGGTATACTTCATATTTATATGGAGATAAAGCCCCCCCAAAATATACTATATACAAACTTTCCACAGCAAATTTATATTTTTGGAGTATTTGGGACTTATCGATTTCACACAGGGACTTACATTTTGGAGACACTGTTTAAATCTGACTCATACGAGTATGTCCCGCTAATCACCGTCAGTTTCTGGGCCATATTCAAGATCGTTTAGCTTCAGATCTCCCTATGGGGATTGCCCACATTTTGCATTCAAGAAGCATGGGGAATGCTCAGATATTACAGGAATTTTCGTGAGAAGGGGGTGGGCACTCTAAGCAGGCCCTAAGGATAAACAATGCTGACTATTAACATAATTGCAATTACAAATATGCTGCAATGCTTCTAGTACTGTACAGTATAGTAAAAAAAAAAATAGTCATCATACATATATATAATAAATTTCGCTGAAGGAAAAGGCTGGATATGGCATTTAGACATTGATACTCCACCCCCAAAATTTGACATTTCATGTTTGTTTACCAAAAATCAGATCACCAAATTTGAAACCCATTCATGAATCTAGTGTGAATATACAGGAACGTCTTACTATAGAAATATCCCTTCAATTTTGTTGATGTCTTTAGGCCTACTCTAATATAACACTACACACTAATATAGAAGATATATTTGATAATTCTACTGATTTAGATTATCTTTATTTTATTGCCCATAACTAACATTACAGTTTGGGTTGTTTGACACACTCCAGGAAGATTTCTCTTTTGTTGTCAATATTTTTACAGGTGATATATTAATCAGATAGCATATTAGCCTAGGTCAGGGTTGAGTCAATACTGATGCTGAAGTCTTCACTCTAACCTCACACACAGACACATGCGAATTCATTTATCATCACCAGTATACAAGATTGGGAAATTTTTACAAGTTGCCCAATGTCCCACAATATTTTTGGGTCCAGTTCTAGATATAACTCATCATTCTGAGTACCTTTCATTCTATACATTTCTGCCATAAACGAATAATTCTGTACATAATAGAACCTGACCTAACCAGCCAAAGAAACCTACCTAACCTCACCAACTCCCTTGCCATATTAAACAGAAAGTACTTGTTATCAGGTACCAATGAAAGCAGCTTTATTGAAGCGTCATGGTATAATTTTACATTTTATGTGGACGTGAGAATACGCTTGGACTGAGCAGGTCAATTGTAAGCCAACAGACGACATGCAGTAACTCAGCAGATTATGGGCAACTTGTATAAAAAATACCACAAGATTTGTACAAAACAGAATACGTATATGATAATTCTATTGATTCAGTATATCTTTATTTTATTTTTATTGCCCACAACTAACAGTAATTGTTGGCAGACCTGGAGTAAGTCCCATGCAAACCCCACAATTTGTACCACCAAGAATGTGACCAATGCCCATGGCTTGGGCAAAGCTCACTGTGAGGATTCCTCATGAAGAAAGCCCATAAAATGATCTTGAATACAGCCCTGTGTTACGCAATAATCCTGCACATCCTCCATATTTTGAATTTTAGTTGGGTAGTCACAAGATGGCTTCTCTCTACACCAGTGTTTTTTCTTGGTTTGACATATCATTCACTGAGTATTTACAAAAAAGCTGCTGCCAGTGACATTTTTAAGGCTCATGGTATTCTGCCAACCTCTGTGAAGTGCTACAGGTGTTCATGTGCAAAATATAGAACGACTGTAAAGGGCGTCAAGAGTTTGGTACCTCGTGCCAGCAATAAGAAGGAACATTACCGACAATATTTTGCTCTGTACAGGTACATGTTCCAAGCCAAATACAATGATCACTTTATCCTCTAGTATCTGTTAATTAAGGTAACATTTATACACAATGGGGGGTCAGCAGGATTCGTTTAATCAGGTTTTGCATGTTTTTACCCCACAATTTCCCTCTGCAAACCCCTGCCCACTTTGTGCAACCAATACTGTTGGTATTTGGAGGGTCAAATCTCCATAACCACTAATTTGCAATGGAAATGAAGGTCATATTCACTTGAAACAACAGAAAATACACTAGTAAAACCTATTTTGTGTTCCGTAGTCAAACTTTTCCGAATCTTTACCTCGATATCAGCATTTGCCCAATGCTTTTTCTTCACAATGGAACAGATGTCACTTAGTTGGATACACTGTATGTGTTTGTATTAGCAGGGCTTGGAAGACATCTTAATTCTAAAATCACATAAATTATTAGCAAATAAGTGGAAAGAAGAACACAGCTGTATTCCTACTCCTTTAAAGAATCACTGGTAACAGTTGAGACATACCCGATAAACACTTTAACTCATGAAATCAATGAAAAATGCACAAGAAATAAATTTTGCATAAATCACTTACAAGTCTTTTGTTTGAAGAGGGCTTCAAAATTCACCTGTCATGTCCATCATGTTCATATCATTTCTCGGTATTGGTTCTATTATTTTTTTGTTAAATATAAAAGTAAGTATAATACAGGTACAGTATAACTGAAGTATTTTAGGATATGTTGGGTTTGGTGAGTTAAGTCTGCTTAGATATTTTTGGGGTTGTCTGTCACAAATCCTCATGTGTAGTCCATCTATTTGAAAGTGAAAAGCTGAGAGATTATGCCTCCTTCCTCCACATAAGCAGAAGGAAATGACAAAGCCAATACCTATCAAGGCTGTCCCTTATGTGGACCATCATTTATACAAGAGTGCACAGTAAACAAGTATCATGAAGGTTTAACTTATTACTATAATATATGTGATATTAAGATTAATCAGTCTATACATTTTCCTCACAGAGGAAGGCCCACTCATTAACAGAATAGGTATGGACAGTAATAATCCTAATTTGGGTAATAAGCCATATGAATTATCCAATCCATTATCAAGTGATTAGCTGACCATCTCTTGGAGTGGTTCATCTAAGTTCTTCAACAAAATACATAAAAGCCTATAATATAACCTCAAAAGAAAATATACTGTAGTAGTAAACCTTGACATCAACAGCAAAAAAGTCTTACATTTATTGAAGAAGCTTGTTGTGTTTCTGGTGAACTGTACAATTGGCAGTGAAGGTGCACACATAATATGCTGCTGCTCCACTCTGGTGATCCTGGCAGGTACTGTCGGAGTTCCCCGCTGTGATACACTGACATAACATCTTGACCCTGTAATAAAAAGTGAGGTGGTTAATACAAGACTTTTTTCTATCTACTTCGTCTCTGCTCTCACTTTTGTGTGGGGCTCATCAACAAAAAGCTTAAAAAATAGGTGAAATAAAAGACTGGTGGAAAGTGACAGGAAAGTACCCAGACTGCATGTAGAAATATATCCTGTACTTGTTGATGTGATTAACTTACAGAATTTGCCTATAAATATAATTATCACAAGACAAGACATTCACTTAATTAGTTTTAGTATGACACACTGATGTAGTCCTAGCATGACACTGCTGGTCTTAGAATGACACACTGAAGTAGTCTTAGCATGATGCTGAAGTAGTCTTAACATGACACTGATGCAGTCTTAACATGACACACTGATGTAGTCTTAGCATGACACACTGATGTAGTCTTAACATGACACACTGATGTAGTCTTAACATGACACACTGATGTAGTCTTAGCATGACACACTGATGTAGATTTAACATGACACACTGATGTAGTCTTAACATGACACACTGATAGAGACTTAGCATGACACACTGATGTAGTCTTAACATGACACACTGATGAAGTTTTAGCATGACACACTGATGCAGACTTAACATGACACACTGATGTAGTCTTAGCATGACACACTGATGTAGACTTAGCATGACACGGTTTTGTAGATTTAGCACGACATGGTTATGTAGTCTTTGCATGACACACTGATGTAGTCTTTTAGCATGGCACACTGATGGAGTCCTAGCATAGCACACTGATGTAGACTTAGCATGACACGGTTATGTAGACTTAGCACGACACGGTTATGTAGTCTTTGTATGACACGGTTATGTAGTCTTTGCATGACACACTGATGTAGTCTTAGCATGACACACTGATGTAGTCTTAGCATGACAATCATCCGACGGCGTTCTCCACTTCAAACCATCACACACAGAAGACTTCTCTGGAAGAGGCTATTTAACCTGTGGCTCCATAAATTCCCTTGAACCATATAAGTATGTATTATGTTAACCAAGATATATACTTACCGCATGATGAAACAGATCTAACATTAACAGAGACAATATTTCTCGTTAAACTTGTCCACAGCGTCGAGGATGCCATGATGTTGTTGTCATTCACTCAGCTGTTTCTGCCAGCAGCCATCCCATGCATCTACACAAAATGAAAACAAATATATTAATACAAAATTAAACAACAAAAAAGACTCATATATCAACGATACTAATATTTTGAAGGAAAAAAATTCTAGTCTGTGAAACATGGGGTTTTCCGTATATTTGTTCTTTTCTATAATGTACAACAGTGAGCTCTACAAGATGCACCTCCGTCCGCCAGGCATAATAATTTTTTCGCCACTTAACAGATTAATAGGGCGAAACAACACAAAACTTTATGAGTAAATAATAACTGGATACCATGCATCATTACACTGTAGAAGCCAGTAACCGTTGCCCATTGGGTTAACTCCAAGTTGCCGCTGAGATGATGGCATGATGAAACCTTGTAGGGGTATGAGATATTGGTGCACACTCAGTATGGGATGGAGAAAGGAAACTCACAATGTGCTCACTGTATACATATTGTATTGGATGTACAATGCAGCTTGTTGCTGGGTAGGTAGCATGGTAATAAGCGTTGAGTAGAGAGAGCTGGGTGGTGAGGGTGCCCAAAGTGAGGCCACGCGGCTTGAGGGACGCCAAGGTCGCTGGCGGGAGCGGCAGCCGCCCGGCTGGCTTGGAGGAGGTGGTGTTGCTTGCTGGTGGCACTGGGTAGAAAAGAGAGCTGGTCACAGTGGTGTCAGGCCTTATAAGGTGGGGATAAGCGTGGGTAGATATTTGACCCCCGCTCCGTGGGCTGGGGAGTTCGAGAAGGTTCGGTGCTTGTAGGGGAGGAATCCACTACAACCTCACATGGTCGTGAAATTCCGTGAATTACTAGAATTAACATAATGGAAGGAGTCAAAGAACGAAAATTCGGTCCATGTCTGCCTTGCCTTTACTTTATCGTCTTCCTTTCGCCTATCATTGGCATGTTAGCCACTTAGCTGGTAGGTCGCGTCATCAATGTTGGGCTGTGGCACACTGACCTGTTTGTTAAATTTGTATATAAGAACAGCACATGCATCAGTTGTTTCATAAACAACTGCAGAGAATTTCGAGGGTGTCTCATGCATGAGATTTTGGGTGGAACACACTATTTACTAATTATATAGCTTTGGGAAGGTTTATCAACAAAATTGTTGTAATTGGGTTGCATCTTGTAAGCAATCTCGTGACCATCTGAACAACTCGTACAGATCTTTTTTTAGGTTGCGACATTGTCTAAACTTGCGACCTTCGCTCTTTCTATGTGTATGTCAACTTGTTTTTCTAATAAGTTACCATGTTTAGTAAATAAAGTTTTCTAGTCTGATTATACATATTTTACAGTTACCTGCGTCGCCCTGCAGCGTCGCTGAACTTTGGTACTGTACCTTTCTAAGTCAATCTCAAGTTTCTCAACCACGTAAGCATTTCCCAGTGCTGTAATATGCATGCAGTATATCCAATTGCACAGTATTTTGATAGAGGCAGTAACCAGATAAGTTTCCTCGTAATTTAAATCGAAGATAAGAACAGAAAACACGAATGCGTAAAAGTTTTAGATATTTTCTTGGTGCGATTTTTATTTCTCAAGAATGTTAGATAGATATATGGTTATTAAGTAAAATCAATATACAAGTTTACAATGATTCCGTAGGTGTACAACATTCATTAACTGCTGTAGTTACAAACAATTACATATACGTACTCTACTTATACTAGTATTCTATAGCACACAGTATAGGAATATAAAGAATATATAGATTTCAATAATACAGAAAATGATATGGTATAATACAAATAAAAAAAAATACACATAGACTACTGTACTTATATACAATGTACACAGTGTCGGTATACATAAACAATGTAGGTATACAAACAATCTGCAGTACGTAGACAGTGAAGGTATACAATATAAGTGTACATATGCCTGTTTTTCAGCAGTATCCTCTTTTAGGCTGGGTAGCTTGCTAGTCAGTAACAATGAATCTATAAAATTATTATACTGTTCTTAAGTTCAAGATTTTGTTTTCTTAAAAATTCTTGGTACTCCTGTACAAGGAATCACCCGCCTCTCTGTATGCATACGTACTGGGCCTAGATTCTTTAACGGGTTACCAACATCTTAATTGCTTAAGAGTTCATAAACTCCTACGGTGGTGATTCACTAAAGACTTGCTTAGTCCACAACTGTTTAAAATTGCTGACCTTCCTTCGTAACTTATGGCGACTTTTGAGTACCTGTAAACTATTGTAACCTAACCTTAGCGGTCTACAGACAAAACCCCAGTCTCATATATAAAATAAAACACTATTATGTTAGGATAGGTGCTTCTATATGTCACTTTGTCGGTAGAAAACTGTTGGGGTTTTGTCGTGGATTCAACCTTAGCATACCTTACCTTATCTCACTTTATCTAAATATACCTTACCTTATCTAACCTTACCTATTTTAAAATACATTTGCAGAGATAATCAAAGGTTAAAGTGCATAATAGTGGTATTGCGAGTTACATTTATATATAATCAACAGATTTATAGATATGTTGGACAAATTATTGGAAAAAATTATCTCCTCAAATGGTATTTAAAAAAAATTATGTTATTGAAAATTTTCTAGAGAACTTAATTGTTTGTCATGTGCATTGCGGTTTTCTGTGTTGAGTGAAGGTGCTACATTCCATCATTAATCCAATTTGAAAATGTTGCCGTGTAATGACTGAAATTAAGTATTATGAATGCGTGGAGGATGTCTATCTAGATAATTACACTACAATAGTCTTAGGTTAGCTTGGTAAAGGTAACATAAGTTTAGGTTAGGTAAGCTGTCATCTTGAAAAATAGCAGTCATCCTGAAAAATGGCCACCATCTTGAAAAATGACCACCATCTTAAAAAATAGTTGCCGTCTTGAAAAATATCAGCCATCTTGAAAAATAGCCATCTTGAAAAATGGCCATCTTAAAAAAAATCTTGAAAAATATTTGCGATCTTGAAAAATTGCCTCTATCGTGAAAAATGGCTGCCATCTTGAAAAATAGCCGCCATCTTGAAAAATAGCAGCAATTTAGAAAATTAGTTGCCATATTAAAAAAACTTAAAAGCAAAATAACTGTTAAAGTATTAATTGTATCCAAAAATAACATCCTGTCAAAGTTGTTCTAATTCATGTACTTACTAGCATGTTACCTTTATGTTATTAATACGACTTTGAAGGATATTGGGCACTGATACGATAAAGTTGACATTATGACTCGGCCTTTTAATATAATAATAATGGAAGCCCCTCGAAATCGAGGATGGCCAGTCCAAGGGCCTCCTAGGTGTGAATTTGTTAAGGTGTAGAAGCTGTCGCCAACACAACAACCACACCCTAAGTTAACGATCTGCATGACACAATGTCACGGAATAGTCCGAGAAGACTGGACAGCTCACCAACTGCACTGGCTAACCATTATCCCGGAATACGATCCGCAAATCGCTTAACATCCATGTTCCCAATTACTGCTGGGTAGACAGAGACAAATGACGTAAAGAAACTTGCCCATAGTTTCACCCTGCCCGAGGATCAAATTTGGGTCCGCTTGCTTGCAAGGCGAGGATGCTGACCATTACACCACAGCTCAGCCAATTAGGTCCTATTTAACAGATCCTCCCAGGTAAAAAGCTTCTGTTTTGTGGATTTACTTCATTATATACAAGTGTCTTCCTTACATCAAAGGCTTCCATAAGTCTCTGCAAAGTAGAAGTCATGAAATTGGTTGAGTATTTCGCCAGGTGTGTTAGTTACGTTGTGCCTTCAGGATTTCCGGAAAGAAGCAGTAGACTTCCAGAAAGTCTGTTCTCGGGCTGTGGGGGAGACTGACGAGGCAGACAATGTTCCTGCTGAAACAACCGAAGAGTATTATAGGCATTCGCTAAGAGTTCCATTTCCTGACCATAAGAAACAGGCAAGGGCCCATATTCACTTATACTGTTGAGATACAAAGTTCATAGCTGTCGGGAGATCTAAAGTCCATACAAACAACCGTAAGAACGATTCACTAGGTTCATAACTTAGCCGTGGTGCTCGTACGAACTATGGCATTAGTTTGTAAAATGCCAACAGGTGGTGGTGGTGGTGTGTTTCCTCTTGGTCAATTCCCTGCGACATACATAACTGATTAGAAGACATAAGCCGATCAAGTCACAAGAATATTAGACCCCATAGAGTGCACTTGTGATCACCGTAGACATTCACAGAAGAAAAGAGGGTAAATTTGGATGACACACCGGCACCGATTTTTATTTCGGCAATAACACATCTGATAAGAAATTCCTCGGTATATGTACCATATATGACTCATTTGTATGTGCCAACAGTGATCTGTGTAGGAGCTTTGGTAATGGTGAATTTGGACACACTTATCTGCCTTTACACTTTGAGGTAACAGATAAGTGGTTTACAGTCAAAACTTCCACAATTATCATCATAATGGTTAAAGACAAAAAGTGAATACTGATATCATGGTTAAATTGTACCTAACCCAATCCAAGCTCATCAAACCTAATAAAAAGGGGGGGTAAAAATGCATAAGTGATACCCCATTTTTCCTTATAGAAAAGTATTATTTTCATAGGTTTTTTATTTAATACATTCAGTAGTGATGTTCTTTTTCACCATAAAATTAGTGAAATGTATCTCAACATAACGTAACCTAACCTAACCTTTGCTGCAATTAATCAGACATTTTTTTTTTTCAGTTAAGCTATGAATTACCATGCAGATGACCGTTTATTAGGGGCAAATAAATATTTCAAGTCTTGGTATCCGGACCCAGATCGCCCTCTTGTATCCCATGAAATATACTACCATAAGTTTTATGATATATCTTATACTGTGCATTTCGAGGACTATCAGCAAATGTTCCACGAAGGCTCCATAATTCCCAACCCCATTATTGGCAAGAAATTCTCCTACGCGTTAGAAGCTAATGAGCAATTGATACAGTTTGTCGTGTCTTCAACGGGTCACAACAAATATGGCAACATCAGCTTACTTATTAACTTGAATGAATTACTGTGTTACTTGCAGATTCAAGGTGGTTTTTACACTTACCTTTTGGAGATAGTTGAATACCCATCTGTTAGTGTTGCTAAACTGATGTTCTCCCACCTCCAGTTTGAAGACATACCTAAATATGATGCATCCAAGCTAGGTAATCCCTGGTACAGGGATCCACAAGGCAACAACTACTGTTCTTTCAGCACCAGAAGATTTCAATATTTTGGGGAGAATGAATATGATACTGAGTTGGAGTTTCACTTGCAACTGACAAATGGTCAATGTAAGGAGCTGTACAACAAATGCAGAAGAGAACCAGTGAGTCATTATGAAGCTAACCTAGAAGAGCCTTGTAAATGTATGAAGTACAGACTAGGTCGTCGGGATAGGTGGCAGAATTGTCCCTCACCCTGGAAGAGTAAGGAAACAGCTCTGAAAATGTATGAGCTACAGGAAGAAATTAAACCTGATGGCAAAGATGTTATCTAGGTGTGTGTGTGTATATATATGCAAGTAAATCACTGTAGGTGCGCGTGATCTAGGTATATCGAGCAAAATAACGGAGATCAATTTAGCATTAATTTTGATTTAACAGAAACGGGTAGCTCGAATTAGTTTGTTAAATCGAGAAAGTACCGGGTATTTATATATATATATTGCCTAAGTTTATTAAGGACTCTCATGCATTGTATACAATTGCTTACTTTAAAACCCTCCCCTTTCTCAAAGATATATTTGTGTTTCTTTATATGGAACTTTTGGTTGTTGGTTAGGTTTTGAAGCTGTTAAAATATTCTTTTTTCTTTTCTCACATATATGCAGGTACATATTTGATTAACATTTTGTGGAGAATGTGCTTCACAAACACAACTTTAGTTCCTGCAAGTATCATATTCTATCACATTTACTTCTAAATATACTGTACAGTACATTAATGCATTTTTAAACTGTACAGTATAGTAGAGCCATGTTATAAGAGATAGTTTTAGAAAATAGGTTTGAGTAAAGTATCAATCATGATAAGTGTATTGAACAATCATGATAAAGAATTTCTGTTATGGGGCCATCCAAAATATGTCATAGACTTTGTGATAATTTCACTGTATGATGTCAGTGTGTGTCTGTATAACTTTATGTATAGTCAGTAAAAGTATCAACCACTCTGCTTTGTGTAACAATATGAAACGTTATGCAAAAATTGTAAACCTATACCTGTGGCTACCAGCGTCAGTTGGTTGTTGTTGTTCATTTTCTTATTCCATCGACCTTGAGGTGGTTGATGTTTATTTTACTGACTCATGTGATTAAAAGATTCCCTTGTGTAACTGTTCCTTCACAGCTTTCTATCTTACCTGTAACTGAAAAAATGATGCTGTACCATCTTGATTCTATGGCTGACCTTAACTTTCTAACAGTAAGTGTCTGGTTCATTATTAAAGGCAAATATATTTAAGCAATGACCATTATGCTTTTTAATATGGACTCTTACTTGTTGATTTGTTAATGATTCTAAGTGCACAATAAGAAAAATTAGTGGTATGGCTTATGGAATGTGATATACAACATTCTGTTATGATAAAACTGAGTGATATCAGCAGAGAACATACCTGTACTGTACTTTTGATATAATGTAATCACATTAATGCCCATAAATACTAATACAGGAACCAATTATAAATTATTGTATCACAAACAAATGCAACATATTGCAATACAGTACTAGACAGAAGGAACCACTGTACTTAAATAAAATGGTGCACAGTAACAATAAACTTATACCTGTACTGTACACTGTAAGGGCCATCACATCATGACCAAGAATTAGTCATTGCCCACACCATCAGAAGCTGGTCGTTACATGAGATTTATAAAAACAAAACAGTTGCAACCAAACATGGACTTGATGGCTCATAAAAGGTAGGCAGTCAAAATAAAGGTTAAATCTAATTACAGTTTACCAATGTTTGAGGTAAATCTCTGATAATCATGAAATATATACAAAAAATTTCTTAAATTGTCAAAAATTTTGAGTGAGTTCAAACCTGGAACTAGGGGATGCCTACTGCACAAGGAGTCACAGCTTTAAATTGAAGAAGCCACAGGTTCAGAAAATTGACACACCAAACTCTTTTGGGGTGAGAGTTGTGAACTCTTGGAATTACCTGCCAGAGAGCATTATGGCAGCAGTATGGAGTGTGAACTCATTTAAGATCAGACTTGACTAACACTGGTGCAGGTTCAGATACATTCTGGAGTCAGTACATGCCCAATCCTTGCCAACAACGTGTAACAGAGACGTGACCTACAGCTCAAGTAGTTAACAGCCTGATCAGCGGTACATACCAAAAAGTAAAGTTAAATAATAAAAAATAAGTAACAGATGATGTCTCTTAATTTTTTCCATCCTGGGCACAACATTAAAGCACCGGTAACTTACACAACAAACTCTGCTTGTTTGGTCAATTAAAAAAATGTCTACTGTACTCGCCCTTAATCATATTGTGTATACAGTATTGATCAAGTCATAAAAAAATTCACTGAATATGAATTTCCACAGAGCTTTTACCACACATGACCCAGTTTGGTCTCAGTGTCTTCTGCAATGAGAATTTTCAGTACAGCAACTTCACACTCTGATTACCAATTATCTTGTTTGAATGATGCAAGAAACCCCATCCCACTTTACAAGTCCTGACTACAGTCCTATTGGCCCTACCCTCTTTCTAAAATCCTGAAAATACCCCTGCAAAAATCTTACACAACTTGGGCAATAGCCCTCATTGGGCCCATCTCCACCTTTCTAGAATTCTGGTTATACCCCTAAATTCTATGTTAAATTCCCATTCTTGAAAGAAATGGTTGATTTAATTAATTGAACTGGTTTAGTTTATTAAAAATCAATGTGCAAAATCCCACTAACAATATCTACACTATTTTACAGATAAAAGATCTAAGTTAAAAATTATGTCAGATGTAAGGTGATATAAATAAAAAAACTCACTATTATAACCAATGAATTTATGGTAAAACCTGAAGTGGATAATAAGTAACAACCCTCCAAAAATGTATCAAATATACAACATTCATTCAATCTGCTGTAAGTATTATATCAATGGGCATATCTGTGTCCTCAGTAGGAATTTCTGGAAGAATTTGCTCTTTAAAAGCTAATGCAACTGTACTTGGAGGTTGGTTTTGCAACTCTCGACACTTTGTCAGATATGTGTCATAATAGCCGCGTCCTCTTCCCATTCTGTAAGAAAAAATCAAATACAGCTGTAGTATACATTAGAAAACAGAATTCTCATCTGTTTATAAAATCTACAGTACACAATTTGCCCCCGACCAGAGGAACTGAAAAACGTGTTCTTAGAGACAAAAAGTCTCATAAAAATGAGCTGGTAGGTTGACACCACTGAACACTTCAACTTGAGCCACCACTCTATGGCTCTGAGTAATACAAGACGTCCTTTGTTTGTGACTGCAGGTCTCAAAAAAGACCACATCATAAGCCTTAATAGGTTAGTCTTGTTAACTGACCCATCAATTCCTTAACCCACAGTCTATCAGGTACTGGGTGCAATTAAAGAACATTGACAGCAAAGAACTCCTAGCAGTCAATTCGGGTTCATTCACCTCTTTGGTAGACCCTTCTGCTGCCAGAACATCGATTGTGCTCAATATTGAAGGTATGCAGTCTACCACTCCAGTAAACCACCCCTGTAAGAGAGGTACCACAAAGGCATGCCTAAAGTTCTAGACCCTGAAACCAATGACAAGGCATATTAAAACAATATAGGACAAAGAAGCATCACAATGTATGTCCCTAAGTCTGATTCACTTTCCACAAGGTCCCTGGACTCCCTAGTGACCCTGCTAAGAGAGCACCTTCCACACAGACCAGAGTCACTGTTTATATCCAAAATGCTGACTCATATAATGGCAAACATAAAGAATGATCGTGGTCTTCCTCCACACCTGAACCACATAAACAACTCTCATTCCCACTGTTTTGTGTACTAACAGCTGGCCCTCATACAACACTCATAGTGGTGTTGACTGTAAATGTTACTTATTAGTACCAGTAAAGAGAATCAATAAAAACAACTGATGGAGTAATCAAAGGATAAATTGTGTCCTATTTCTTAAATGTACAATAAAAGATCACAGAAAAAAAAATCTCTTGACATATAATTAAATAACAACATATGTTTAACATCTTTTAAAGCATTAAATAAAAAACTTCCTTATTTCAGTAGTCAATCTAACAGTCATCATGATGTTAAAGCCACTGTCTTACTTTATGTAGAATTATTGCACTCTTCTGTACGCCATGACTAAGTCAAGTATTGTAGAACCAACTGTTCACTCCGGTTACCTCACCAACCCTATTTCTCATTCTATCAACATGAAGTTCTGACACACACACAAAAATAAAACCTAAAACTTAAACCCAAGTCATACAAAATAAAACCTTCTGTCAGAACATTACACATGATATACTGAATATCACACAGATTGTGTACAATTAACTTATTATGGAAATTTAGAAGTAATGTACAACAATTTCTGGCCTATACTGTACAGTATACACAATCCCCTTGCTTAACACGGATATATTGAACATAAATTCGCTTGAACACGGTTTTTTATCACTACCCAGTATTGCTTAACAAAGGGCTAAGATTTGCTTGAACGTGGGCTGAGCTGGGCTAACATTTGGCTGAATGCTGCCAGGTAGAAAACATTTTGTGTGGCCCAACAGCCAGATCCATTCCAGTTCTCAGGTAGCGTCTCCACTGGGCCAGTGGTCGAGTCCAGTACAGTCCATGGGCAGCGTCCCCACACCACATGGGTCCGGCCAAAACCAAAATCTTTGCATGGATTAGCTTAATTTTTTCGCTTGCTTTCATCACCTTGGCTCTACCTAAACGTTCTCTAAGTGCCTCTCTGCCTAGGGACACTCTAGAAAAGAAGAATAGGATCATGTTTATCCTATAGAGTAAGTCAGACTCCGTGAAAGAGTACTGAAAAGATTAGAGCCGTAATTTTGGGTAGATTAACATAACTTTCTTCATATTTTTCTAATCATTTACATGTGCATATATACACAATCCTTCATAGCGAATGTGCAAAAATAAAATTAATCATTAGGTTAAAAACAAATTTAATAATATTTTTTTTCATTTGTCGGCGAGATTTAGCAGGAGTTATGTTATGGCTATTTTTCAAATTGTACTTTCAAGTAGATAAGCTTAACTTCATATTTTCTTTATTCAGTTACATCCACACACAATCCTACATACAGAATGTGAAAAAAAATATATATACTGTATATATAAATATATATACAGTACAGCTCCTCCCCGACTTACAACCTACTCGACTAACGACCACCCGGACATACCTCAGTCATACCAAAAATTTGTCAAATTACGTATTTTCGAGTCCCAACGTCAGTGATTGCGCTGTGTACTAACAAAATTTTCGTTTGTAATTCATTTAAAATGGCTGGCATGCTTAAAAGTGAGAGTTTTGTGGTGCTGAGAAGAAAAAGAGACACCCATTTTAGATTTTCTATGTATTATTTAAGCATTTTCAACTTACGACCTGGATTTGGGTCCCTAACCCAGCCGTAAGTCGGGGAGCAGCTGTATATAAAAAACATAAAATGAATAAACATTTCTTAGTGTGCTAGCAGGAGAGCAGGAGGGGAAGTGTTGCTCAGGGTTAGGAGGGGGAGAGTCCAGCAGCCGGGCCGGAATGCTATGGTAAGGCTGGAGGGAAGCCATGTGTGACTCATACAGCCTCTGCAAATGGCTGTGGTGTTAAACTTTCAGAAACTGATTTTATGGACATGCCAGTGCCTCCACAACATAAAGTTTAAATGAATTTCGTAGATGTATGTGTATTAGTGAGTTAATTTAGAGTTGTACAACTTTTACGATGTCTTTGAATTTTGGTTTTGAAGTGCTTTTGGTGTGAATGTCTGTGTGTGTGTGTGTGTAAGGGGGGGGGAGAGTTTGGGTTCACCTGAAGGATCCCCTATATCCTTGTGTTATAATGGATATGCTCTACATGACGTTTCCTGTGAATGCAACCCCAGCATTAAACAAGGGGGCAGTGCACTGTCCACTAAAGTACTTTTCTTTTTTATACATGTAACTGGAAACAAACCTAAAACTAAATACAAGGATAAAATTAAGTCTCATTATACCTGTATTGTACAGTATCACAAATAATAATCACCTATGGCCTTCCTTTGAGAAGGCTAATCCAGGGATAAGAATAAGGTCGAGTCCTCCTGAAGAAAGCGCTTTGTCACACTGCTTGTCCAGAGGTGGCTGCTTAATCTGCCACTTTGTCACTGGTAAGGACTCATATTCCTCCCAAGAGTTGACACGCACCATGTCCATATAGGTAGACTTACTATCATATCTGGCAAGTTTACATATAATCAGTAAGCTTGATTTCATTTACAGTACATGCTCATGTGCTAAACTAACATGGTACAAAACTTTCCTCTTAGGATAGAATTACATTGTATTAAAACTAACTCGGAACCTTTGCTTATCTGGAGAATTAATCATAGATAACACAGTCAATAAAAGTATTGCCATGTCTTGAAAGAGTGAATTCATTAACCATAGGTGTAAGAGAGAAACTCCTTAGGCTAACCTAACCTACCTCCAGGTGGCCTTTGGGTGTTTAATCATCAGGTTAAATACCCTGAGGGTGAATCTTTTAGTGATCTGAAGGTAATAGTTAAGGATAATTGTATGCCCTAATTACCTCCTGTATGACATGTCACCATAGAACATAAAAGCTTTCTTCCTCTTGAAATCAATAAAAAATACAACATTTATCAACGATAAAAAAAAAAAACGATTTATTTACCAGATGTGGAAGGAGCCGTCAATTGACATCAGCTATACTGCGGTCTGACTAATTACCCAAATGTACCCAAATGTAGCCAAATATAGCCACAATGAAGTCAAATAATGGTCCTACATGAATAAATCGGACTGCTAATCACTTCTCGACTAGTATTTGGTGTCAGAAAGTCACAAAAAATTGGAAAACTTACTTTAATCAGAGTTAATAGATCGCGTGCATGTACCGGCGGAGCGAGGAATTACCCAAATGTAGCCAAATGTTGCCGCAATGAAGTCAAATGATGGTCGTACAAGCGTAATTCGGGCTGTGAATCACTTCTCGATTATTATTTGGTGTCATAAAGTAAAAAAAAAATTTGTAAACTTAATTTAATCTGAGTTGTGTCGTGTTGTGTTAGGTTAGGTTAGGTTAGGTACATGCACTCGATCTATTAACTCAGATTAAATTAAGTTTACCAATTTTTTGACTTTGTGACACCAAATACTAGTCGAGAAGTGATTGGCAGTCCGATTTATTCATATAGAACCATTATTTGACTTCATTGCGACTACATTTGGGTACATTTGGGTAATTCCTCGCTCCGTCGGTACATGCACGCGATCTATTAACTCAGATTAAAGTAAGTTTTCCAATTTTTTGTGACTTTCTGACACCAAATACTAGTCGAGAAGTGATTGGCAGTCCGATTTATTCATCTAGGACCATTATTTGACTTCATTGTGGCTATATTTGGGTACATTTGGGTACATTTGGGTAATTAGTCGGACCCGCTATACTGTATTATCTTCTCGGTCTATTGCAGTGTACCTAAAATAAAACTTTGTTTTGGTTTGGTTGCATAGTATATCAAGTTAAGTTAACTTAGGTTATGTTTGGTAGGTTAATTTGGTGCATTTTATACGTCAAATTATAGAAAGAAGCAGTACAGTATCTGCCACTACATGAATGTTAGCACTTGTCAGGAGCTACCGAGAGGGACTGTTAATAATTTATTGTTGTAAGACAACCCATCTAACTTAACCTATCAAACCTAACCCAGCCTAAAATACTACACTTTAATTGCGTTTTCATAGTCTAAGAAATTAAAAGAACTCAAGCCAAGATACACGGCAACCACAGGAGATCAAGGCAGGTGGATTTTGGAGTCCATCACAGACAAAAGATGTAATACCAGTAAGCTTAAATGTAATTTCTGGAAGACATATTGCTCGTGCATATTGTGTCAATTTCATGAGGTAAGAAAGTATTTATGTTCTACAGTGAAATAATGCACACTAAGTAGTTTGGGTGCACAATTAGTCTCAACTATTACTGACCAGAGTTAAACACCACAGAAAAATACTACCTATGAACTTAAAAAATCTGGCTTAATGACAGTCTTTCACGACACAAATAATGTCTATAACCTTGGGATGAAGCAAGTCTTGCCAGTCTCAAGAGCATGACGAAGAATGGGCTCAGTCTGTATCTCGTCGTTCATACTCAAGAATATGGACACTCGCTGACTTCTCTTGTACAGTTCATGTTGCAAAGTTTTCTGTTGCACTATCACGGACTGTCTGGCCTTCTCTTCACTGCTTAAAGAATTCAACTTTGCCTTTAATTCCTTACGTAAAGCTGCCTTGGCTGCCTTGATTACGCTCATGATTATAGTCTGGAGAAGCTACTGAGAGCTGCCAGCTCCAAATACGGGAATGGTGGTTTTAAATAGTACAGTACTTCAGTAGAAGTTCATGTTGATAGTGTAGTCTTGGACCAGCTGATCCACCATGTCCCATCTCATGTACAAGGCTAGATAAATGATTTGGGGTAATTTTCTACATGAAATATAAGAACCACAATAAAATACCATTTTAACTATTTTATTAGTATATAAATAATTATATTTTCTTCCCAAACACTTTTTATAAAATAATAATAGTCAAATGAATCCAAAGTCTCCAATTATACTCGAACACAAAATAATATTCTAAAACTCACGGTCTTTTATCGAAATATTTCAATTTAAACCTTAATACCGTATACAGTATATGTTATTATATATAAATATATATATATATATATATATATATATATATATATATATATATCTTGATAAACTCACACGGGAAAAGGTAAACAACGGAGCACCTTAGCCTCTGAAGATGTCTTGAATAAAGACGAAAGCTAAGGTACTCCGTTGTTTCCCTTTTCCCGTGTGATTTTATCAAGATTTACCTTATCCACGTTTTCATTGTGGATCTACATGAAATATATATATATATATATATATATATATATATATATATATATATATATATATATATATAAACTTAGAATCACAACTTCCTGAATAAGCATTGTTAGATAACAAATTCTATTCCACAACAGTAATAATAATAAAATTAAATGAATGAAGTAAACGGTAAATGTACAGTATATGATGAATTATAATAACAACCTTTACATAATATGAGGTACGCATAGAACCATAGATTGACTGTTAATGTAACTAAACTTCACTAAATTAAAATGTTATAAGATCCGCTTCAACGTGAGGCCAGTACATTTGGTTGATTCATACACTTGCCACCAACAAGTAATTGTTTTAAGTGATTTATCTTTGGGTTAAAAGGTGGAAGTCTGTGAGTGGCTGTGATAATGAGTGTGGCAGGCTGTGGCAATTACATCATGGTCACTCAGTTGCCAGCCGGTGGCCCCACTCACAAGGCAGTACGTACTCAGTTGATACAGCTCACTCTAGTGGTACTGTCACTCTCTTACTGCTATCGTCTCTAATAGGACAGACGGGAAAAATGCCTTTTGTATTCCTCAGAACCAATTTACCTGATGAAAAGTTATCAAAAGAATTCCACCTCCAGTTGGCAGCGAAAGTGGGAGAAGCTTTAGGTAAATCTGTGGAGGTAAGTTAAGAAACACCTTTCCCTTAAAAAAACAATAACATTTTCACAAAAAATTAACATGTTACTTTCTACTGGTGAACGATGCATTATAGAACACATTGTTCTTACAGGATAAACAAATATATAAACATACATATCCTTTGCTCGCATTTAGACCATAGGTAATTATAGAACAAGCGGTGAACACAGGTCTAGTGTCACCACCCATGTCAGGCTACGAACACCACCCGGGCAACCTGCATGTAGTAGCATTAGTGTGAAAAGTGGCCAACTGCAAGACTATACAGTGTGAAAAGTGGCCAACTGCAAGACTATACAGTGTGAAAAGTGGCTAACTGCATGACTAAACCACATTAAAAAAAAATATCGTACATTACTCAATTTCAATATTTTTAGATGTACGAGTAGTATAATGAATCGTGCAACAGGAGACCCAAACACTGAAATGGTACACTGTATATAACCTATTAATTATAACATCACTTGAATCACCTGTAAGTTAGACACCCCAGCTTATTTCAACTGAAGATTAACCACCTTAACGCTTCCTGGGGGGGGGGGGTTAGGATAAGTTAGGTTATGTTAAGTTAGCTTAGCGTCAGGTTAAGTTGGGCAAACATTAGGTTCAGTTGTGTTAGCGTTAGTGTGGTTAATTACCAGGGGAAGTAAAAAAAAGGGATGCTAATCTTCAGGTGATCCGAAAATGATGTTATATAACGAAATTTTCAAGAGATGACTGTTGAAGGTGAATGCTGGAACAAGAGAATGATAGAGTCTGGGTAATGTTACTGTGAATTTAAGAGAGGTGAAGGCTTATAAATGATATCATGTATTACAGTAGCTACAACAACTATCTGTGCATACTTTGTGGGAAACAATATGAGACCATGGACGATAATTTTTGGTATATGAGGGCTGTCACTAGTCACACGTAAAATTTCGGAGCATATCGACCCCCACCTGCACAGATAGTTGTTTCAGCTACTGTACCTGGGAGAAATGTTCAGGAAGAAGAGAGAAGGTGAAGTTAATAAGACACACAGGTAGAGCCGTGAGATAAATAACTCTTAAGAGCAGTACCAGTGTAGTGAGCGAGGAGACTGTATGATGAAGGCGCTGGTGCCTGCTGGGGAGACTGTGTACGTGATGAGGGTTTTCGAATGCTTTGGCAGGGACACTGACACCCCCAAGAGGTCACACGAATTGTGGTCAGACGGTTTTTAACCCATGAATACAGGACAATCGGGTATATATTACGTCTTTGTCCCCATAAGTGAACGTATACCCTGTACATTATTTTGTATAACATAAACTTGACGTTGTCATATTAAAGGAATATTAAAAACTAGGCGAGTTACCCGGCTTCGGTCGGGTGGAGGGACAGCACAACCTCCCTTAGGTTACCCGCACCTCCCTACCAAATTAACCAGCTCTCTCTCTTCAAAACTGTGGAAATGCATAAGTAACACACACACACACACACACACACACACACACTATCGGCCATCCCTGCATTTTACTAAAAAGTTTTCCATCGTGTCTCAAAGAAACTTATAAGAATTTCTCTACAACCACTTACATACTTTTGACTTCATACAGTCACATGTATTAACAGTTTTGGGCAGCTAAAGTAGATACTGTACTCACTAATTTGTTATTTTAAAGAAAGTGTCGCTGACAATTGAGACGAACCTTCGCATGACGCGAGGCACCAGCTTCGACCCCTTGTGTGAACTACACATCTGCTCCATCGGCCTCAGCACTCGTGAGCAGACCGTCCCGCTCACCAAGACCATGACGGAGTTCCTGGAGGAGCACACCGGCATACCCCGATCCAAGTGAGGCTATGACTGACCCACAAGTTCTTACATCTATTTTTTACACATTTATTTATTAGTCTTCATTGCTAAATACACCTGTAAAATTTTGTGTAGGCAGCTTTAATTATATTGTGAATCATATTTATATTTGCTTCCCATTTCAGCAACTTTTTGTGTTTAACAATTCTCAGACTGCTCTACAAGTCTTCAGTCTGTTAAAATTCCCCTCTCTGTTGTTTATTCTGATTAGGTAATTCACGTGTAGATAAACCATCCTATATTGATTCACCCGACGATTAAACATCTTACTTGTCCACGCTGTAGTAAGAGGGAGTAAGGGAGTAGCTCTCCTCCTTTACTCTGCCGACACATCCCTAATGGAGACATTCTTCCCTTACCCTATGCTGAAGTGCCCTGCCACCATGATGGGGAAGAGAGATAACTACAATGTGTCCTCACCGGTACACGTGTCATTTATAACATACAAATTCTGCTCACACATACAGTACACCTTTCAGTTATATATAATTTGTGTCATAAAACTTAAGGATAGAAGACAGCGATGTTCTTAACCAGTTGGTGGGGAATATCTCGTACAAGTGTTTATTGATCATGGCTATCGTCTAAACCTTGAGTCTCATCTGACCAAACTTCCTGACTACAAGTAAGACGCTCTGCTGTTTCGTATGTGAAGATCATGACAACACATACTGTATAATACCAACACTCCGTTACATCACTACACAGGTCGTGTTTGGCTCAGCTGTTTTGCTTTCACACACATTATTAGACCCATTTATTCATCCTGATACACGAGAGAGATCCCCAGCTGCCCACTGCTGGTCGACTGGGATGATGTTCTGAACAACACAAGTACACAACTCGAAATTATCTTATTCTCCCCCCATCCCCCCCCCCAAAAAAAAAAATATGTTGCTTATCTTAACAATATACTATGACACACACACACACTGTAGGTACGTGTGATCCATGTATATGATCATAACAAAAGAGAAAAAAAAACACGAAATACCCAAACGCTTTCACGTGAAATATAATTAAAGAGGACTGGACACATTTGGGAAGAGGCTCATTAATATTGAGATCCAAGAGGGTTAGAGACCCGGCAGGTACAGCAGATGGGGAGTCAGGGTGGGGAAGTAAAGAGGAGTATTGTCACATATGCACGTCACCATTGAGAGGGTGTACCGTGAAAAGGAGTTATCATAGAGAAGATAAACGTTCACTGAAGGGAGGGAGGGTGGCTTATCATGGCCTGCTGTGTTGTGTGGCGTAGGATGGACACACCTGATAGATGTAGCAAGAGTATAGGTGAGGCGTCATACTGGGAGGCTTCTGTTGCTCTAGTAGCCTCTTGACTCATGTAACTTGTTGACATCATCTTACATTTTCATTTTATTTGGAAATTTTACCATAACTCAGGTGTGCAGCTTAATAATGTTGTTGCCTATTTTTGTCACGGTTATTGACAAACTGCATCTTATCATTCCCGCATTTTATTTCAGAGACTCCCTCCCGGCTCGGCCGTGCGTGTGTTTGTGTGTGTTTATGTGTTTGTGTGTATGTGTGAACGTGACCTACTAAAATGCCTGAACACGTATACGCATATGCACATTCACATTTCCGCCTTAAGGTGAACGTATGTAAGACACAGATTCTGACCCAGCCCTTCCCTGGTTCAGCCAAGGATCCTTATACCTTGGGTTCATCCACGCCTCCACCGTCCATCCAGGTTACCGGTACCACCCTCTCCAACGTTATTCATTTCCAGTACCTTGGCTCCCACCTGTCCACCACCGCCGCGGACATCGATAAAGAGATCCAACATCGGATCAGATGTGTTTCCAAACTTTTGGCAGACTGCATGCGTCCTCAGGAAGTTCCCACACATCCCACCTCACTCATGCTCTAATAGACATATTCTCCGGCAATCATCTCCAGAATTTACAGTTAGATATTAATGAATTTAAGCTTATCCACTTTCTCCAGTTCATTATCATAATATTGTTGATAGAAGGAGAAAGTGAATCATATAGTATATCTCAACATATTAAGTTTGGGTACACTCACACAGGGGCGGACTGAGGTGCTTCATAACGACAGCTGAGTGTTTGTTATCTTCAAGTGTTGAGTGATAGTGGTATGGTCACCCCTTTAGGTTGTCTCTGTCTACGTGTGGGGGTGGGGGAAGGGGGGAGCTATTTTATGTTGCGATACGTTAGGTTAAGTTATGCTAGATTAGGTTAGGTTATGCTAGTTTAGGTTAGGTTAGGTTAGTTTAGGTTAGGTTAGTTTAGGTTAGGTTAGGTTAGGTTATGCTAGATTAGGTCAGGTTATGCTAGTTTAGGTTAGGTTATGCTAGTTTAGGTTAGGTTATGCTCGTTTAGGTTAGGTTAGGTTAGGTTAGTTTAGGTTAGGTTAGGTTAGGTGGGGAATTAATGTTCAAGTGATCCCAAAATACCATTATACTCAGGTCTCAAGTTGTTTGTTGTATCAGTTTTGGATTTATTCTTTATTATAAACTTCTAAAGAAAAATATTATCTTGTTTACAGACTGATTATGAGCTTCATGCCGATCCTTCCTCACCTTGTTGCTATCAACGGTCATGTAGTGCAGTGACAGTGTGGCCACCAGCAAGCAGTATGGAGGAGTGACGCTCTGAACATCACCTGAACACTGGCTTGTCGCTTCCACCCTCACCACTATACATATATACTTGTTAATATTCTCTTATAGCTGTTCACTGTTTGATCAACCTAGTTACCGAGTGCTTCAGAAGAATTAAGTACGGTGTAAACCTTCATGAAACAATTATATACAAAAATACAAGAATATTTTTTTGTTTCACTTCATTGTTCAACCATCAACCACCAACAGCCGTGAAGAGATTATGTTGAAGTAGATGTCTGTGTATGAGTAAGACTTAAGAGGGGCGGCACTACTTCACGATAGCGCTTTAGCCAGATTTTCCCTAAACAACAGATATTCAAGATACTTATGGATTTACCACTTGTTTTCGGTTACATATCCTACTGCACTTAAGAGTCACAGGTGAGGACCCTAGTTAACCTAAGTGGAAATGGTTACCAAAGTTTGCAGAAATATAGGAGGTCGATTGCAATACTGATTAAGCTGCATCCTATATCCACACTGTTCCTAATATCCTGCCAGACCTGCATGCATGACCTATTTATACATTTCACACACCAATATGGTAACCTAAAATCCAATATTTACTGTATATAAACAACACGTAACAAAACTCACCATAGATGAAAATATATTGTAATTGATCAACAGTATGAGAGAGATTGGTGTAATAATTTCACATGGGAATATAACTTTTCAAATTCGAGTCTTGAGCGTTCAGGGTAGAGGTGTGCTACTACTGTACACCATTATAAAACCTAACAAAATAAGAGACACGGCATCGTAGTACTTGAAGGAAATCTGTCGTGATATCAGGTTTCAGGTATTCTTCTGACTATGAGCTGTGATTCTGAAGGTAAAATCTAAAAGGATTATATTTTAACCACGGAAGGTGTTGATAATTACGGTTCATCATACCTGTTGTCCTATTTGCGTAGGAGCAGGGGACCCTGGGGCCCCCAGTCAGCTTTTGTGTAGGGTCCATCGCATCGTGTCCACACTCCACACTCTGCTTGCTTCAAAGTTTCTATGGCTTGGTCACTGTGTTTCGTTCAAGCCTACCCTAGAAAAATTCCCGCAGGCGATAATGTGTTATGGCAGTGGTTCTCAACCTTGATTGCCCCATGCACCCCTTTCACCATATGTCAGAATGTCATTCCCCCCTCCTTTCCAAGATTGTCTGCCTCAAAAAGTGCATTCCAAATAATATGCATATAATACTGAAAATCCTTTATTTTTTCCATATTAGTATCAGTTCCCCCCCCCCCTGAAAACCTGAGGGGGGAAATTCCCCCCTGGTTGAGAACCCCTGTGTTATGGCCATTCTGTTGTCGGCCAGGCGAGGGTGAGGGGAGGCGGAGGAGATGAAGGTTCTGGGAAAGAGAGGATAAAGTTAATGTCTTTAACAAATAGAAACACCAGTAATTAAAGAGACATTATACCCATTAGGAATTTTGAAAGTCTTAGACAGAGGCATTGGAGTTTTTATAAAACCTAAAAATATTTTGGAATTATTAACATCGGGTACTGTAGTCCTGCTGCTCCTGTACTAATACTGGACCCACAAGGGATGTCACTTACTACACCACTAAGAAGATTAGATACTCTTAACTGATGAAGCAGAATCTGTTCAGTATAAACATCTATATATTTAACTGTATGAGAATTATTAGGTGGTACTTTAGCGTGCGGTCTACAAAGATATCTTTAGTCTAACCTAACCTAACCTGGCCTAACCTAACCTAACCAAATCTAAACTTACCTAAATATCTTGTAGACCGCACACTATAGTAACACCAACTATTAATTAACATGAAAACTAAGAGAAAACGAACTTCACTTGTAATCAAAGAAAACTGATAAATTTCTCTGGTAAGCTATTATAAATCCAGAAGAGACTTTGTGAGTGTGTTTGTAGCTATTCGGTGAGTCTATGCTTCGTGGACTCCTTGTTATATAGGCTTTCTGGGATTATTGCTGAATCACGCAGAAAATAACCGCCAAAACTTCATGGGAATTAAGGAATACAGCTCAGTATATGTAGCTAAAGGCCAGACAACAGACCGCAAGACAACAGAAGACCAGACAACAGAAGGTTAGACAACAGGATGCCAAACAACAGGCGAAAACAGACGGCCAGACAAAAAACCGCCATACAACAGAAGACCAGACAACGGAAGGCTAGACAACAGGAGGCCAGAATACAGATCGCTAGACAACAGACATACTTCACGTCACGGACACTAGTAGTAAATTATTCACGTCACGGACACTAGTAGTAAATTCTTCACGTCACGGACACTAGTAGTAAATTCTTCACGTCACGGACACTAGTAGTAAATTCTTCACGTCACGGACACTAGTAGTAAATTCTTCACGTCACGGACACTAGTAGTAAATTCTTCACGTCACGGACGCTAGTAGTAGATTATTCACGCCACGGACACTTGTAGTAAATTTTTTATGTCACGGACACTAGTAGTAAATTCTTCACGTCAGGGACACTAGTAGCAGGGCCGGTGCAAGATGATTTGGCGCCCTAGGCAAGCCTTTAGATGTGCGCCCCCTTGAAAGTTTTGATAAGCTAATGTAGGTACAGTAACCCATGACTACATTGTTTTCATCTTGTGGCTTTATTACTTCACCCATGCAAATAACCAATTATTGTTATTACATTAAGTCAATAAATCCTTGACGTAAACTTCAGAGGTCAGGTAACCTTGCCTCATCCCGACAAAGACAGGGAAGGGGCGGCTCAGCCGCCCTGGCAGTAAGGGAGGGGAGGGGATGGTGGGGTTGGGAGAAGGGTTCCTCAGATGTCAGCCTTCAGGTCACTGCTCGACAGTTCTCCAGGCCGCCAAAGATAAGGACCCGGGTTAGTCCCTCCGGGGGGTTAACGAATAATATTAAAAAAGAAAACACAGTCGGCTACCGTCTACCTACCCTCGCCTCCCTCCGACCCCCCACCTTCTAACATCCTGCTCCGACCCTCCACGGCTCCACCACAGTGTCCACCACAGTTTTCCCTTCATTTTTAATTTTATCCAAGTTTGCCCTGAATTTGTGGCGCCCCCAGATGTTGGCGCCCTAGGCGATCGCCTAGTTCGCCTAGTGGGTAGCGCCGGCCCTGACTAGTAGCAAATTCTTCACGCCACGGACACTAGTAGTAAATTCTTCACGCCACGGACACTAGTAGAAAATTATTCACGTCACGGACACTAGTAGTAAATTCTCCGCGCCACGGACACTTGTAGTAAATTCTTCGTCACGGACACTAGTAGTAAATTCTTCACGTCACGGACACTAGTAGTAAATTCTTCACGTCACGGACACTACTTGTAAATTCTTCACGTCACGGACACTAGTAGTAAATTCCTCACGTCACGGACACTACTTGTAAATTCTTCACGTCACGGACACTAGTAGTAAATTCTTCACGTCACGGACACTAGTAGTAAATTCTTCACGTCACGGACACTACTTGTAAATTCTTCACGTCACGGACACTAGTAGTAAATTCTTCACGTCACGGACACTACTTGTAAATTCTTCACGTCACGGATACTACTTGTAAATTCTTCACGTCACGGACACTACTTGTAAATTCTTCACGTCACGGATACTACTTGTAAATTCTTCACGTCACGGACACTAGTAGTAAATTATTCACTGAGGATTACCAAGTTCCTTCTCAGAGACAGGACACAGATACACCGTGACTGGGTGGGGTCAGCCAGCAGGCCATACACATAAACACAGTCTTAAAACAGTGGTGTATAAATGAGAGCACAAATATACACAGACAGACATATTTAGGACAATAACAACACGACACAAAATCATAGCATTAGGTGTGTATAATTGGTGTATAATTGAGTACACAAATATTCATAGACAGATATTCAGGTTTGTGATTGTATGTCATCAGAACAAAGAGGGACAGCAGCCATGATGGATAGTAGGAGTTAATTACTATGGCGGCAGGTAAACAGGTGAGTGTGTACTGCTCGCGTTATTAGTCACGTGTGAAATAATGTATACGTATTTACCTGATAAACAGGTCCACACTGGTCACGCATTGCAACGACTCAGAGTAACATGGTCTTGTGAGGAGACAGTGGCCAAGAACTGTGATTATACCCAAAGTTGTGAGACACGTACTGTATAAGGCTCGTACATGAAGGTGGTATTGCTGTGGTACCGGAACAGTGTAACTAAATTGTGGTTGAAATATTGCAGGCATTAAATTGCAGTAATTCAATGTACGTATTATTTTTCAACTGATAAAATACTTCAAAATTGTAATAAAATTGAATACAACAGCAAATTGTGTTTGACATGTGTTCATAGTCATTATTTATTTGACTAAAGTTATAATGCTGAATAAATTAATTTATTTAAACTATTTGAATTTGTTAAAAAAAATTACATATGAGGAAATATCCAAGTCTTTTATTTCAATATTATAGTGAGAAATATGCAGGATCTTCTGACGTTATTTCCGGAATACCGGCGAAAGTTTACATAGGCAACATGATAACTATTGGCATGTTATTAGTGGAGATACAGTAGTCTATTAAGAGGGTTTAGATAAAGACACCCACCAAATGTAATCTGTTCCTTACTTTTCCTGATGTTTGGGTAAAAATAGACTAGTTTAACTGGGCTAACAGCTGCCTGACGCCTTCCTCCGGGGTAGTGATACAACACACATATGGGAGATGAGAGTATTGTGTGGCATCATCATCTGAACGAGACAAAACCCAGGTTGGTAGGGCAGACAGCAGGCAGACAGGGCAGACAATTAGGGCAGACTGTAGGCAGACAAGGCACGTCACTAGGGCAGACAAGGCACGTCACTAGGGCAGACAGTAGGTAGACAGGGCAGGTCACTAGGGCAGACTGTAGGCAGACAAGGCAGGTCACTAGGGCAGACAAGGCACGTCACTAGGGCAGACAGTCGGCAGACAAGACAGGTCACTAGGGCAGACAGCAGTCAGACAGGGCAGGTCACTAGGGCAGACTGGCAGGCAGACAAGGCGTCACTAGGGCAGACAGCAGGCAGACAAGGCAGGTCACTAGGGCAGACGAACAGACAGGGCAGGTCACTAAGGGCAGACTGTAGGCAGACAAACGTCACTAGGGCAGACTGAGGCGACAAGACACGGCAGGTCACTAGGGAGAA